ATTCACTAATTTAAAAGGGGAATATTCCTCTGAATTCATTTCAGGCAGTTTGCCTTAAAAAATCAATGGTCCTATATAGTCTAATATTTTAGGTAAAAATTAGCTAAAATTTTGAACAGTGTAAGTCTACTTAATAATATACTCTAATTTTATAAAAATCGGTGTACAAATGTGTACTCTGTCAAAGGTAGACTTTGAAATAAACAAAAATTAAAAAAAAATCATAAATTTTCAAAAAATTTCAAAAAGAGGATCAGCTAGGATTTTGGTAAATATCATTTTTAATTCACCAAAGGGTCCCGAACAAGAAACTGCAATCAGTTTTTGGCGTCATTTTCGTTCAGGCACACCGTGCTATGTAGGTACATGAAATTTCACATCTCAATATTATAAAATCCATTGTAAGCATCAATAACAACTCTTAAAAAAATATGTACATCCTAATTTATTACCTATAACCAATTAAAAACACCTTTAAAACGTTCGGGGAACCCTTCAGCTTCCACAAAAAGCTGTCGCATCCCGTTTAATTTTTTCTCGACGTTGGAGGGCCGTAGAGGAGAGAACCAGCGACAAAGAGGAGATTAACAAGGAGATGCAGATGTGGAAGCAGGATGAAACAAGCCCGAAATTTTGTAGGATATAAAACAGGTTTCCGCGCTACGTTGCCGGATCGAAGAAAAGCACCGCAAAATGGGGGAATAAAAAGAGCTTGAATTTTACTTGTTACCTTGACTTCGTCTAGGCAAAACCTGTTTCTAAATTACGTAACACCTACCACTAAAGTCTTCTTAATACCCTTTTTAGCTGCTGTTTTGCCCGTATCCGTAGTGACTGTGCACACAGCCTTCGTTGTTTCTTTTTCTCTTCTATTGTTTTGCTGACGGTCAACTTCTATCTCTGTTTCTGTTTTTATGTTTACGTGGGAGTTTTTTTCGTTCTTTATTCGAAAGAATTAACACCCAGAAACGGTTTGCAAAAATTATTAATAAAAACATTATTATTTTTGACAAGAACTTTTAGATTTTTAGATCTAAATTATTTAATTTCTACGGACAACATAAATTACTAAAAAACACATCTATTTACACATCTTTATGTGCACAGGGCGCACTTCCTCATTTCACACACTTTATTGTTAAATGTATTATAATAAGTTTATATAGCTTCACAAATAGTTTATTTTATTTCCTCTCCGTCCCCCATACGCCACGCCAATGACTCATCTCGGATGATTGACAGCTGAACGTGCTCCAAAAGATAATTTAAACACGCTTGGCCAACTCGATATGCGCCTTCCTAAATCAGCTGCTCCAGAATTTCTTAAGGGGGGTTTCGATACTATAAATAGAAACAAATACAAAAAATTCCCCAATACATATAATTCTTTATTTTTAACCATTTATTTACCCCCAGTAATACCTAATTGACACTGGTGTTGCAGTAGACCTCTGCTTCTGCTTTCGCAACCGCGAAGTTCTGCACAATTATTTACAACTGCTTGACATAATTAAAAAAAAATGTAATTTTTAAAGTGTTTAGGTATACTTTCGCTTCCGCATCTGCTTCTGCAAAAATTTGCTATTGATTCTATAAATAGAAACAAAAACAAAAAAGTCCCCAATATATAAAATTCTCTATTTTTAACCCCAGTAATACCCAATTGACACTGGTGTTGCAACTGACCTCTGCTTCTGCTTTCGAAACCGCGAAAGTTTCGCACACTTTTTTACACCCGCTTAACATAATTAACAAAAAATGTAATTTTAATAGTATTTAGGCATACTTTCGCTTCCGATTCTGCATCCGCATCCGCTTCTGTAAAAATTTGCTACTGACATCCGCATCTGCTTGTGTTATGACCACTTTCATCCTGCCATGTCGTCATATCATCAAATTAACATACACAACTGTTTTGTCGTGCCAGGATTTTATTGTTTTATTGAGAGTCCATTGACAATCAAGAGCTAATTGGAATGTTACGGGGAATTAGGTTAATTGGAACGAACAAAAAATGTTTATTTATCGTCGAAATTTTAAACCCTCTCGAGTTTAATTGACGGAATAACAAAAAAAACCATTCATATTATTCCTAAATAACGGCAAAACATCTGTCACTTTTGCTGATTCCGCTCTGTAATTATCCAAGTGGGCCTCAAACAGCACGCGTCACACGAGCATGGCATCCCACGATGGAATTTAAGCCTCGCTCCAGCGGTGGGGTGATTTTCACAAAGGGGAACCGAAATAAAAGAATTTGTGAGATTTTTGTTCTCACTCGTGAATGAGGAATATTTGATTTAAGTTAACAATGGAACGCAAAAAATATATTATTTTTACTATTTACATGAACAAATTTGATCAATTTGTGTTTTGTAACACTATTCAAAGATGACACCACATACTGGGTTCAGTAACGCATTTATTTTATCGATTTTTCCTTAAAAGCACCTCTTTAAATCCAAAACTCACATTATCACACAAAAAGTCGACAAGAACACCGTGAAAATCCTTAAACAACCTCAAAAACCAGCAAAAACACCTTAAAAACCAAAATCTTTACAACGCCATCTATCAGCAGTCGTACGAACTTCACATTTCATGGCCCTCCTTTAAATTATCCAACGCGTTGCAACGGTGGGCGTGGTTTTGCGCTGGCCTCTCCAAAGGGCGTGGCCCGGCCGTACACAGAAATGATTTATATTTTATCATTTTAATGATCTTTAAAATCATTTTGATAAATTAACGACCGTTCAGGCACTAACTCGTCTATTCCCTTTCGCTAAACATGCATGTTCATGAACTACATATGTTTCGTAACATATGAGCCTATTCCCTTTCAATTATTTCGTCTATAGACGCATGCGCTCGAAGAATTTCTTAAACATCCATGTTTATAAACATCATCGGTGTTAAAATGGCTATTCCGTTTCCAAAATTCGATGTTTGGTGAACATACATGATGTTTGAAAACGTATGTTTACGAACGCTTGCCTAAGAGGTGCTGTTAGAAAATATTTAAGGTTTTTTATCTTGCATTAATCTTAAATTGCGGCGATGTTTGGTACAGTATACAGTACAGTATCATTATCAAGCATAGTAATTATAAATTAATTACTTTTTCATAATTAATACCTAATTAATTATAATTATAAATGATAAATAATTATTTATAATTGAGAATAGGACAAATCATATAAGCATTGAGCAATGATATAAGGTTTTACACCAAACAAATAATAATATATTTTTTGGTAATTTTAAAAATATGTTTAAATATTAATTATTAAAATGTATTTACTAATTATAATACCTACCAGAATACAAATTTTGCTTTACTGATTTTTTTAATATAATTTTATTATAATAATAAATATTTATTTAGAGAAAAACAGAAAATTAAAAAAAACTGAGTGTGAAGAGAGAATGTGGAGGAGGAATATTATGTTACAAAGTGTCTAAAAACGACCTCTAAAACTATATAGTATATACTTATTGGTAGAATAAAAAATAACTTGGAAAAATATATTTTATTAAAAAAATACAACAAATATAAAATATCAAATACCTATGTAATATTATTACTTAAAAATATAGACAAAATATTAGTCAAAGAAAAGTTTAACTAATAAAATACAAAAAATATGCATCTAAAAACACTTTTTCTTCACATGGGAGCTAAAACTTTTTGGTTTAATTTTAAAATCTTATAGGTTTTATCAATACCTTGTAAAACCTCTACACCTTCGAAGGTGTAGTGATCACTACTCGTCAGAGTTTGAGTTTCTCTTTATGCCTCTCTGTTGTAGAAGGGGCCCTTCCACCCGACCTTAAAGGCTGGTCAATGAAGAGTTCCAACGATGGTATTACCTCAACCTTACCCTCCACCACTAACTTTCACAGCGCTTCCTCTATTACGGCTAGTAATTTATCCTTAAAGTAATTAAGTTGTTTTACTGGCTCCCCGACATTGCCAGTCTCCATGTGAGAAATGCGTAGTTTTCTTGCCATTTTCAATACACTAAAAGTGTGTAAAAATAAGTAACAAATAATTATTTTAAGATATTTTATGATTACCCTTTTCCATATAAGGATGGACTTAATGGCCCCGCCAGAAGATCTGTGCTTTGGCTAGTTCAGCATAAAACGTTTTTCCCAAGTATTTTTAGAATTTGTGGATTTTCCCAAATTGTTTTTAAGTTCATTTAATATATTAAATATCACCAATGATTTTTAAAACAATTATCTAACACAATTTTAGTTTACGATCTGCGACTTTTAGGTTATAAAACTAAGAAACTCCCTGTCCTAAAAACATTTATCGCTGTTCAGAAAGATTCAAGGTCAAGACTCTCAACATATGAGAAACGGAATAACCTTAAACATAGGTAATGTTTGGCTTGTCGTTGGGTGAACATACATGTTAAGAAATCGATGTTTACGAACAGCAAGAAAGGGAATAGGCCTCTAAGCTGCGTTGTATGTAAAGCGAACTGAAGGTCGAAATAGCGCTATGAAAGTAATTAAAATTGTTGGAATATACTTTTTTATTATTTGTGTTTTAATGTACTAAAGGGTTTTGTTTCCGAATTTATTTTAAAAAAGACCTTATAGGTATAACTTAATTTGTTGTATTTTTTAACTTTAGTTGTTGGCGCCATCTAGTGTCCAAAAATGTAAGCGTAAGTTAGAATGTAAATCATAGATGGCGCAAAATTAAAAACCATATAAAATTACTCATTTTATTATTTAATTAATTAAAATGATTTATTATTAGGTTCTTAAAATAAACAAAACAACTTTTTCTTGGATTTATAATGCTCTGTTGCCTTTAAAAGTTGGATAATTTATATTAATATGCATTTTTTTATTGCGCAATAAAAGCATTTCTATCTAGAAATCAACTAAAAATAGACTTTCTCTATTAATCGAATCAGTTTAATAATAATGCAAGTCATAGCAAACAATAATCTTTGTGAAATTCTCAGATAAGAAGGTAAGCTTAAGGTCAGCTGTTGTTATTTTTAAAATCATCTCGGTAATGATAAACAATTGAATATCGCCGATATTATGATAAGTTTCGCGACAAAATATTTACCCACAAGAGTTTTTCAAGGTTTAACAGCCACATACTGCAGAGGTAAAGTTTTAAAGAATTATTGCCACATTGAGGTTATGTTTGACAGTACATTTTTTGATTTTGTTTATTTTCTTAGCATCTGCGTTACTGAATAACGGATTTAGGGGCTGCCATAGTTCACAAATAAGCATTTCTTTCAAAAACATGAAGGTGCAAGTGTTGCCAGCTTTGACTGATAATTATATGTATTTGGTAGGTTTTCGAATAACATTTTTGCAATAATAAAGTGTAAATATTGTAGATTATCGACGAGAAAACAAAACAAGCAGCTATTGTGGACCCTGTTGCACCCGATGTGTGTCTAGAAGCAGCCCGAAAGGAAGGAGTGAACCTAACAAAAGTTTTGACAACCCACCACCACTGGTACTGTCATAATTATAACCTCAAACAATTGTTGACAATGTGTCATTTTTTATATAAAATGACATTTTTTTAGGGATCATGCTGGCGGCAATGAAGACCTTGTAAAAAAATCGGATAAGGCCCTGCAAGTGTTTGGTGGTGATGACAGGATCGGGGCTCTTACTAATAAAGTTCAACATGGCGACAAGTTCACCATTGGTGATATTAATGTTGAGTGTTTGTTCACCCCATGTCACACTACCGGCCATATTTGCTACTATTTAACTTCTCCGGGCGAGACGCCTGTAGTTTTTACAGGTTAGTTTTATCTGACAGTTTTGACATTTACCTAAATGTTTTGACAACTGACAGATGGAATGTCAATTTTCCACAGATTACTTTGATTGTTAATAAATAAGATATTTTTAGGTGATACCCTTTTTATTGGGGGCTGTGGGAGGTTTTTTGAAGGTACCGCCGAACAAATGTACTCTGCTCTGGTAGATAAGCTAGGGAATTTGCCTGGAAATACCAGGGTTTTTTGCGGGCATGAATATACGTTACAAAATTTGAAATTCGCGAATTATGTGGAGGGAGAAAACAAGGTTATACAGGAAAAAATTGAGTGGGCTAGACAGAAGAGATCTGAAGGGATACCAACTGTAAAAAAATTAAAAAATAGCACTTGTTTAGTTATTTTTCTTAATGTTATAGGTTCCATCAACAATTGATGAAGAAAAACAAATAAATCCTTTTATGAGGGTGATGGAAAAAAGTGTTCAAAATCACGTGAATTTAAAAGATCCTGTGGAAACAATGAGGGCCATAAGAAAAGAAAAAGATAATTTTAAAAGCAATTAATAAAAAAAAAATATTTGTTGTTAATGTTTTATTTTTATAAATTTTATTATTATTAAGGTACTTGGTGATATTTTATTAAAAAAATAAAATAATTTTTAATTTTTTATTTAACCTTAATACTAAATCACATTATTGTTTCATTTGTTTATACTCTGACATTTCCACAACATATTTCTCCTTTGACTTTTCATACATATCCACATAAATCTAAAAAAAATAAAAAATTATAACCTACAAATACCTACATTTGTTATATTTTAACCTTTCTTTCTGGTACTGTCAAAGACTTCCACTTGATGGCCAACTGCCTGGTCAGTTCTTGCTTAGTGGGCTCTGGTTCGCCAGGTTTCAGCTCAGAATTCAATTGTTCCATCAAAATCTGCCGTTGTTCCTGACAAAACTGAAAAAACGGATTTGAAGGCCGTTTTGGGGCGTTCGGATCCTTCTCCGCCTTCCCTTTCGTCCTCTTCGCCGGCCTTTTGGGCGTTTTCACGGGTTTTTCCGGTTTTTCATCTGAAATAATGGAGTTAGCAAAACATATCCATACTTTTTTGTTTTGGTACCTTCTTCGAGTTTTTCTTCTTTTATTCGCTCTTTAGCGACTAAATTTGACGGTTTTGTGTCTTCTTCTTCTTTAATTAAGTTTGTTTTAGGAATTACAGTCCAATCTTCACTGTAGTTTTTTAGCAATCGTTGTTTGAAGAAGTTTACTTCTTTGTGTCTTCGTTTGGTTATTTTGTCTGTTTCTTGTATCCTATGGCAACAAAAAAACATTATTTTGCGTAAAAAACCCAATAATTGTGTAGAATATCACCTAAAAACTAATATTTCGTTCGATCTTTGCATGTTCGAGCATTCTTCAAGCAATAATTTGAATTTTTTGTAGTATATATCACTCTCTTGGTTATCCACGTACACCCCGTCATTTTCGGATTCATCGGACATCATTTTCACTTTAATTGATAATTATTACAATCAAATAATTGCGAAAATTGCAAAATTAACGCGGATTGTTTACAAATAGGTTTGACATTTCTAACGTCAAAATAAAAGTGACAGTTTACCTAAATAATGTTTATTTTTAGGAGAAATTAAATATATTTTAAAATAATATAGTACGATTAAGCATTAAAAACGTTGTGTTGGATATAAATTTGTTTTTAAATAAGGATTTTTTACGAAAAAATTTAAATATTCCATTGCCAACTTAAGATTGGCAAGACTGGCAACCTATGCTCGGTTCGCGGTTGTCAAGATAGTGGAAAATGTGCAGTAAGATTTCTTAACTAAACGATACAAAATAAAAAAATAAACTAGCGAACTGTGGTGTGCTTTAACATCTAAAGAATGTAAATTATTTTTTTAATACCACAACAGACAAGAATTAAGTAAACTGAATCTCAATTTGACAGGGTTATTATAATAGTGGAGGTCCTGCGGCAGGCCTAAATAATGCAGCATTAGCTGGCCATACACAGGCGTTATTTCGCGCGGTTTATCGTGGCGTGTTGGGATGTAGCGGTTAGTATGCACGAAAGAACGGCATGGCAAAAAAAGCGTCATGTTCCATACACTTGATAAAGTATTCAAATGATTTAGCAAGTGATTGCCCGTGGTATATCAGTTTCAAAGGAAAAATCGTATGTGAGTAGGCAAAAAGTGTCATTTATCAAGTCGTTTGAAACTGCATGTAATCATGTACAAATTTTCAACGTGAAATTTTGCCAAGCAAAGGTAAACCGTGACGCGGAATGTGGCGTGTGGACACTTCACACTCCAGAGGAAAGCACGTCTGAAATCCCTTCCCGTTCTATCATTGCGCGCGGCGATACTCACTCACGTACATGATTTTCCATATGTTTTTGCAGATAACACGATAAACCGCGCGCAATAACGTCTGTGTATGGCCAGCTATTGGGTGTATAAGAAATTTTGGGGACCGCCGGGAAACGCATGCGTTTAAAACCTTTTGTCTGAGTTTTGCACGGCAGGCCGTTTTTAATTTCAGCAGTTGTTTTACCACATAAAATCCCTACAAACCGAAATAACCGAGGGAACGAAATCGATACCAAAACTGTAAAGTTCGCGTTTTTCATTTCGCAAAAGTCAAGGTTAGCTTTTTCGAAATTAATCGTTATTTTTGTGGCGCCAAGGCACAATGGTCACGGTTTTTTAGCATCGATTTTGCTGTTTTTTTATTGGTAAGTTTAGTTTATTATTATTATCATCTCCGCGGTGGATGTGAATTTGAAAGCAGGGTTCATTTGTTCCATTGCCTTCTAGAATTGCAGAAAGTTTCGGAATTAATATTATATATCATAATTTATTTTTGATATAGGTATTAGGTTTAATTGATAAAGATTCATTGTTTTTTATTACGAAAGTTGTTATAAACTGGTATTCATGTATTGTGCAAGTTTGCTTTGTTGTTAAACAACTATTAGGAAACGTTTTGTTTATTACCTGAAATAGGTATACTTAATGCTTTTCTAGAAAAAATAATCACAGCGCCAAATTTACCCTAAATTAGTAGGTAATTAAAAAATCGCTATTCTAAATAGGTAGTCGATAAAATCCAATTAATTAGTCTTCGGTTTAATTAATAATATGATTAACACATCGTGTTTTTAAGTGATCCTAGTGCTCTATGACCTAAATTGTTACCACGTTGTTTTGAAATACAGCTGGCAACCATATCGTTAGTTTGACAAAAAAACGTCAACAAATATACAGGGCGTTTAGTGTTATATCTATACAGTAGACTGGGCCAAAAAAATCAACTATTTTTTTTTTGAAAAGTACCTATATCGAAAATATGGTCTGGGGTGACAAAAAAATATTGTGAAGTTTGAGTACATAATATTAATATTATGAGGTCTATCATCGCAATTTTAGATTTTTTTTTCCCTGAGCGAGTTTTTGTCTCAGAACTTCCAAACCATTGAGTTTAACAAAATTGACTTTGAAATATATTTTGAAGAAAATTAAATGCTCTACAAAAAGGTTTGAATTTCCCGTCAGATAAACCGTTTTCTTACAATCATGCCTTAAAAATTGAGTCAATTGAGTCAATGGTTTGGGAGTTCTGAGACAAAAACTTGCTGAGGAAAAAAAATTTAAAATTGCGATGATATTAATATTAAACTTTACAATAATTTTTTTTTGTCACCCCAAACCATATTTTCGATATATTTAAAAAAAAAATAGTTCATTTTTTGGCCCAGTCTACTATACAGTTATACAGTTTACCTATATTATTTTAATTATAGAAGATTCTAAATAAATTTAATTGAATTGAAATTTAAACACCCAAATGTTGACCAATATATAGTAGGTATGTGTTGTTCACGTGCTCTTCGCGTGTAGTGGTGGTTTGGTGAAATTAATATACCTACTATAGGAATAGGAATTTGGAAAAATCCCGGTTCGATCATTTTATTGATTACATTTGCGTAGAAACCCTTCAAAATAAACTAATTACTAAAATATATCCAGTAGAATATGTATTTTTTTATAGTTATTATTTACCCCCATTGCTTTTATTGAGACACCCTGGTGACCTAGTGTATTTTGACATTTGCATGAATTTTTCGTTGACCTTTGTTCTTAAAGTTGTTGTTTTTGTGTGGCCCTCAGACTACGGAAGCCTAACTACTTAACCTCTAAAGGCAAGCATGTCGAAGCCCCATCTGCCGGTGTCGCGCGTTAACACCATCATGAAAAGTTCTTCCGACGTGGAAGTGGTCAGCAAGGAGTCGTCGAATCTGATGACGAAAGCGGCGGAGCACTTCATCAAAATCCTGGCCACCGAAGCCTACAAAATATCGAACCTGGGGAAAAAGTTGGACTACAAGCACGTGGCGGAAGTAGTGCACCGCGAAGAACGGTACGATTTCTTGAGGGACATAATGCCGAAGAAGATCACGGTGGCCGAGTTCAAGAGGATCATGGCCAAGAAGCAGGAAAACGGCGACAGCGGTGAGGCGTCTTCTTCGAGCAGTTCCGACGAAACGAGCAGTGATGAAGAAAGCGACGTGGATGATGAAGAAGATGAACGCACTAGTAGTTAATTTTTTTTGGTTTTTGTTTTGTTTTTCGAGCATTCCTTAAAAGTCTGCATCAGATTTTGTTTACTTCCAAGAAATAAAAGTATTTTTTTTAATTGGTTTTATTTATTTCCTTAAAGGTTATTGAACGGAAATTTGATAATACCAACCAGTGGTTTTAAAATTTTACACGCGATTTTTGAATATTAATGATTTTATTTAATATGCGGCCTGAGTATGGTTGATAGTATCAACTCAATATTGATTTTAGTAATCCAGTCAAGGTCAAGCATGAAGAGAGGTCCATTTCAAGTTGAACTTGACATTTAAATAAAAAAAGAAGAAAATTAGGCTTCACATTGCATTTTCAGTGTTAATTGTCCTAACTCCGCTTATGCATCTGCGGAAGTTCTGCACACTTTCTCACATCCGCTTCTGCATTTTGTTTCCGTAAAAGCGCAATAAATAAAAATTTACAAAAAATTGTATTTATATGGTATTTATACTTCCGCATCGACTTATTTTCCTTAAAGGTTATTGGACGGAAATTGGATTATAAATGATTTTATTTAATTTGCGCCCTGAGTAAGATTGATGCCATCAACTCGATATTAATTTTAGTAATCCAGTGTCAAGGTCAAGCATGAATGGAGGTCCATTTTAAGTTGTACTTAAAATTTAAATGAAAACAAGAAGAAAATTAGGCTTCACATTGCATTTTCAGTGTTCATTGTCATAACTACGCTTCTGCAAATGCGGAAGTTCTGCACACTTTCTCACATCCTTTTCTGCATTTTGTTTCAGTAAAAGCGCAGTAAATAAAAATTTACAAAAAATTGTTTTTTTATGGTATTTATACTTCCGCATCGACTTATTTTCCTTAAAGGTTATTGGACGGAAATTGGATTATAAATGATTTTATTTATTATGCGCCCTGAGTAAGGATGATAGCATCAACTCGATATTGATTTTAGTAATCCAGTGTAAAGGTCAAGCATGAATGGAGGTCCATTTCAAGTTGAACTTTACATTTAAATGAAAAAAAGAAGAAAATTAGGCTTCACATTGCATTTTCAGTCTTCATTGTCATAACTCCGCTTCTGCAAATGCAGAAGTTCTGCACACTTTCTCACATCCGCTTCTGCATTTTGTTTCAGTAAAAGCGCAATAAATAAAAATTTACAATTTTTTTTATTTTTAAGGTATTTATACTTCCGCATCGACTTATTTTCCTTAAAGGTTATTGAAGGAAATTGGATTATACCAACCAGTGGTTTTACAATTTTACACGCGATTTTTTAATATTAATGATTTTATTTAATATGCGGCCTGAGTAAGGTAACTCGATATTTATTTTAGTAATCTGGTCAAGGTCAAGCATGAATCTCTGTCCATTTCAAGTTAAACTTAACATTTAAATAAAAAAAGAAGAAAATTAGGCTTCACATGGCATTTTCAGTGTTCATTGTCATAACTCCGCTTCTGCATCTGCGGAAGTTCTGCACACTTTCTCACATATGTATATCGACATCGACTTATTTTCCTTAAAGGTTATTGGACGGAAATTGGATTTTAAATGATTTTATTTAATATGCTGCCTAAGTAAGGTTGATAGCATCAACTCGATATTGATTTTAGTAATCCAGTGTCAAGGTCAAGCATGAATGGAGGTCCATTTCAAGTTGAACTTAACATTTAAATGAAAAAAAGAAGAAAATTAGGCTTCACATTACATTTTCAGTGTTCATTGTCATAACTCCGCTTCTGTAAATGCGGAAGTTCTGCACACTTTCTTACATCCGCTTCTGTATTTTTTTTCAGTAAAAGCGCAATAAATAAAAATTTCAAGTTTCAAGTTGAACTTAACATTTAAATGAAAAAAAGAAGAAAATTAGGCTTCACATACATTGCATTTTCAGTGTTCATTGTCATAACTTTGCTTCTGCAAATACGGAAGTTCTGCACGCTTTCTGACATCCGCTTCTGCATTTTGTTTCGGTAAAAGCGCAATAAATAAAAATTTACAAAAAATTGTATTTTTATGGTATTTATACTTCCGCATCAACTTATTTTCCTTAAAGGTTATTGGACGGAAATTGGATTATACCAACCAGTGGTTTTACAATTTTACACGCGATTTTTGAATGTTAATGATTTTATTTAATATTCGGCCTGAGTAAGGTTGATAGCATCAACTCGATATTGATTTTAGTAAACCAGTCAAGGTCAAGCATGAAAAAAATAAAGAAAAAAATTAGGATTTACGTTGCATTTTTAGTGTTTATTGTCATAACTCTGCTTCTGCAACTGCGGAAGTTCTTCACACTTTCTTACATTCGCTTTTGCATTTTGTTTCCGTAAAAGCGGTATTTATACTTTCGCATCCGCATTGTGCTTATTTTACAAACTTTGATGGGTTAGGAGAAAAATGAATAGATAATTTTAATTTTAAATTGTTATCTTTTGTTTTTTGGTACCTTTAAGTGTCGAGTGTCTTTCATAATTTGGATGAATTTAAATGGGGTCACTCGTGTATATTTATACTTTATCTGTAAGAATAAATACAATTATATTATTTTTAACAAATACATTTAATAGAGATAGTGGAAATCTTAACAAAACAATGGTATTATTTACACGTGTGGAAAAAATAGTGGTAAACTTTTTTCACTAAAACATTAACTTTCTCCTTTATCTCAAAAATTGGGTTATGTTCTCTAAAATTAATTAAAACCAAAAACGCAAAACAAAAAAGTTGTATATCAAAAAAAAATATTCAAAAATGTCTAAAATAAAAGAAAATAATAAAATAACAAAAAAAAATATTTTGGCTTATGGCTTTTTAGGACAGACAATTTTTTGTTCATTGGCACAATAATGAACTTAATCTTAAAAATTGTTCGGTTCAACGGGACAAAGTGCTGATATGGAAAGCCATTACGGTTAATGAAAATAATTTCCGATAATATATCGAACAAAAAAAATTTATAACTATCGCTAAAGTCAAACTTAACTCGCTCTTATCAGGCACGAAATTAATATTTAAATTGTTTAAAGTTTAAAGCTAACTTATGAAATACTCTATAATTTAATATAATATTTTTCTACTCTCAACCATTATCGTACATGACACTAGGTGACCTTTTAAATACACATTGACAAGTTGTAGCTTTATGTCGTTTTATATGGGCGCCCATGCCATCTTTAAAATTAAGTACTTGTTCTAGACATTGAAACGCCACTGCGTCTGATAAGGCAAATCTATAAAGAAATATGAAATTTACAATTCAAACCAAGTCTTTACTTGAACGCTTCAAGATACTGACTAAGGTTGTGCTATAAAGTGGTGCATTTTTTTTGTGTTTAGGATATAATGTGGAAAATATAATAGTGTATATAATGAATTTTTGTTGTTATGGAATGTTATTTGGAGTACTTTAAATCTATGGTAAATTAAAACATTATTTTATTTACTAATGAAAATAAGTTAACTTATAAACTATTATTTAATTGTCTAAAGTACTAATTTTAATTGTCTCCTTTAATGGTGATATCCACGCTACTGTTGCTTTAGGTATATTAGTGGAATGTTTATTTTATTAAACAACAAAAGAAACTTATTGTTATTATGTTTTTTGCCTGTATCAAAGCCAGTGTACTACGACATTTTATACAACATAATACTTTATAATTTTTTCCTTTAATTCTTTATCATAAAAGGTCAATGCTGTGTAAAAAATAGATATGTTGATAGGTATTTCGTAACTTCATTTTTATTTAGTAATGTTTTAATATCCTATAAAATTTTGAGTCGGAGAAACATTAATAATTATTATTATAATATACAATTTATTTTTATACAACCAGGTTAATATATCTCCTAAAATATTAATTTTAGAGATACTACTTAGGTATATGACTTTTTTTGCAGAAGACTGAATTTCCTGCAAAAATGTTTACAAGTTTGAGTTTTATTTTTATATTTAACATTTTAAATTAACTTTTGGTTAATATATCTCCTAAAATATTAGTTTTAGAGATTCGACTTATGTACCTATATCACCTTTTTTGTAGACGTTTGAATTTTCTACAAAAAATATTATTCACTTTTTTCTCTAAAGTCAACCGTTTACAAGTTTGAGTCGAGGAAACATTTATAATATAAATTTTATTTTTATAAAATTTAAAATTTTGATAACTTTAGATTAATATGGCTCCTAAAATATTACTTTTAAAGATTCGACTCTTATGACCTTTTTTGTAGAAAATTGAATTTCCTACAAAAATTATATTCACATTTACAAGTCAAGTTAACAGCAAATACATGTAAAACAAGATTTCCTGTGGGAAATGAAAAATACATTTTGCTGTATAGTGCAAGTTTGTTTAATCATTAAATTTAATGATTACGTATTTTCTGAACCGCCTCATAAAATATTAATACTTATAATCGAGCTTATAATAATATAATAACAGTATGCACAAAACTATTGTTTAAATTATTGACCCCTCATAAAATTCGATAAATATTTAAAAACGTGTGCTTAGAAAGATAAGTATACTTATTATATATTTTGTATAATACAAATGATAATGAATTGTTTAAATTGGGTCTTATTATCAATATTTTTAAATAATAAAGGTTGAATAAATATCCTGGTTAATTCTAAATTTAACGTACATACATAAGTATTTTAGAATGAGTGGGTGCCAAATTTTATTTTATTTTTATGTAATTTATTAATGTTTTTTTGATGCTTCGCAATATATAATTTTTTTTGATGACCAAAATAAATTTTAATTGTAAAAACACAATGAGGTTTTTACAAGAAAATTTCTTGGACCTAGCGTCCAAAGTACAAATTACAGTTACCTGTAGGTAGGACGAACTCGCACAGTGGGATACATTTAAAAATGGTAGTACAAATGTGCACAGTGGGGTAAATTTAACAAATGGAAGGACAAATTCGCACAGTGGGATAAAATTAAAAATTATGGGGGAAACTCACACAGTGCTATAAGTATAAACAAATCGTGCAAAAATTCTCAATTTTTTTTTCTCGTTTTTTTTAAATTCTCAAATTTACAAAAAAATTTAAAATTAAAATTTTTTTTACATTTTAAATTTTTTATTTTTGAAATAAATTGTAAAAAAAACTTATGTTGAAAACAAACAACCTATTTTAATTTTACACACTTACGTAGTTCTTATTGGATCCAAAGATAAGGTGCCAAAAAATGTATAAGTGGTTTTTGCATCCAAACGAAAAGTTGCTATTTTAATTGAAAATTGTATCTATATTAATCAAGTAAGACTCGATTTAGCTGTTAAATGTTTTTGGTTAATTATTTCATCCTGTGGTAATTATAATTACAATCGTCTTCAGACAGTTTGTTGATCTTGGTTTTTGTTGTCTATTTTGAGTTCCTAGTATTGTGTGGATTATGATATGACAAAAGTAAGTTTTTGTAAACAAATTAATAGTAAATTGTTTGTTTTGTTTTGTAGAAACACTGCTACATATTTTTTTGATATTTAAACCACAAACAACGAGTTAAAACTTGTTGTTCATGTTATTAATGGATTCATCTAGTAAGTGAATCAATTAAAATTTGTCTAGGTAAAAATTGATTATAATTTAAAAACTAGTTCAAGTACAAATACCAAATTATATTATTATCATATCTTTTAAGTTTTTTGACGGCTGGAATATTCCAATTATTACATTGTATAATAATCCTATTACAATAATGAAATTAAATAATTTACACAAAAATAAACACTCTTGACGTAATAAAGCAAAATTAATTAACCAACGCGCTAGTATTATAGAAAAATGGCTGAATAAAATCCTTTTTCTCTTGTTCTAGAACCTCCTCCAACCCGCGCGGTTGCCGTCTGCAACGTATGGACAGACGACCGTCAACGACTGTTAAAAACCGACACAGGCCGCCCACGACCCGTATGAAACCTTTGGTCACGTCCAGTCGTCGTCTTGCGTCGTTACGCAGGCAGTTCAGCAGAGATTTGCAGGAATGGCCGCATCACAAAACGGAATTGACAGTAACAACGTCGTCGCGCAGTTGCCGCACTTCGTCGGTGCCGCGCGGAAACGCGACAACGCCGCCTACGGCGTTCGTGGCGACAGCGCCCTCTCTGCGGACGGTGCAGTAAGTGGTGGGGGTAGTAGTTCGGCGTTGCCCGAGGGGGGCGCGTCGAACGGTGTGCTTAGTGATAGTGATGATAATGATAATGTAGGCAGAGAGGGGGGTAGTGATGCCAGAAGGGGCGGGGGTGAGTGCGCTGAGGAGATCGAGGATGGACCTTTACAGGATAACTGCAAAAAGTAAGTTTTTTTAGTATAGTTTGTCTAAAAATACCGAAACAGGCTAATTTATTAATGTTTTGAAATATATAATAATTTTTTTTGATGACCTAAAATAAATTTTAATTGTAAAAACACAATGCAGTCTTTCAAGAAAATTTCTTGAAGAAATACACTCTAAACACAAGAACACTACGTGCTAAATCTAAATATATTATTAGTTTTTAATAGGACTCGACCGATGGCTGAATTTTGCCGATGCCTATGCCGATGGCCATCAATAAAATAAAATCTTAAGAGAAATATTTATTTTTTAAAGCATTAACAGATTTTTTTTACAAACATAAAAAAGGAAAAATAAAATAACATTCTGAAAAAAATATATAAAATTTAAAAAAGAAACAACTTAATATTTGTAGTCAATTAGTGGTAAGTTTTTGTTTATTATCTAAAATTGGATCGGCACTAGAGCCCTGCACGGGCCGGGCCGGGCCGAACAGCTATTTTTTAAAATCGGGCCGGCCTAAGTTTCTAGGCCATCTAGACATTCTACGCAAAGGTCGCTGTATTTGTCTGTCGATTTAGGAATTTTCCCTAAGTAAGGATATGATTATTATTATTATTAATAAAATATAATAATTATATATGATTTAAGTATATTATATTATATTATATTATTATAATATATAATTATTCTATACACTATAATATTCGATAATATTATTATAATAGTAAAGAAAGTAGATCGCAACTTTTAAAGTTTTTCTTCTTTTATATGTATAACATACATTGTATCTAAAGTTTGAAACGTTTTTTAAAACGAAAAATTAAAAAATATATATTTAAAATGAAAATATAAATAAATATATGCTTTGTTGTTCTTAAGCTTCGTACAGACCTGAACATTGAGCCGAACAACAAGCAGAACAACGAACCGAACGGCAAACAGAACGGCAAATGGCCTTTTTTGATTTCGACGATCCGAACAACAAACGGAACGTTCGTGCTGTTCCCATAATTGCTCGTAGTAAATCTCAGTTAAAGTTTTACTAAAGATGGAAAAAAGTGTAGCAGCAGCAGTTTATATATAAATTTTGCGCAATCTCCTCGCAAGCATCTTGTTTTTTAATTTTATTAAAATGGTGTGGGTGTTTTGGTTTCCACAACAACTCTTTTTTATAAATATCAATTAGATCCAGAGATTTTTCTTCTGTCTACTCCATTTACTTGTGTTGAATTTTAATTATATTAAAATAAACAAAGTCACTTAAAGGAGGAGACAAATAAACACTTAAATGAGAACAATTCACTGGTCTGTTCGCCGTTTTGTTTTGACCCGTCCAAACCTCCGAACGCATTCGCGAGCATTTCCTTTAGGTGCGTACTGACTTGCAACAAAACACTCCGAACGAACCAAACGCACCGCGCGCGCTGCGCCAAATGCCACAAACATGTTTGTGAAGGTTCGTGCCGTTCGCGAGCATTTGCTGTGTTCGTCGCGTTCCCGCATTTGGTGTGTTCGTCAGGATGGATGCAGATGATTTAATAATAATAGCGGCTGGTGCTTTTTTAATTATAAGTGCTTTAGTTAGTAATAAGAAGAAGAAAAAAAGAAAAGAGTGGTCAAGACGTCATCTATTTTTATTAAAATACAGCCCATTTTTGGCATCCCATAATAAAGGGTGCTTTTCATATTCATCTATTAATTGAAGGCACTTTTCCCTGCTCCATTCCATCTTTGCACTTTTAATAATTAATTTAAATAAACAAACAGGCCAAACACGGCAAACACACGTTCTCACTGCAAAGTTGCGAACTAATCGTTCGGCGAAAATCTCTTTGCGCAAATCCGATTTACCGACAATCGCCCGAAAAAGTTTGGCTCGTTCCGTTCTGTTCGGCGCGAGGTTCTCACTAGCACAATTTGTTGCAGCGCGCGCGGCGCGTTTGGATCGTTCGGAGTGTTTTGTTGCAAGTCAGTACGCACCTTTTGATGTCGAAGGAAAAACCGACAAGTGATGGGAACGGGGCGAACCGTTCGCCGAACGGTCAGGATTCGCGAACATGTTCGCAAACGCGTTCGTAGCCCCGTCCAAATTAGTGTTCTGTTTGCCGTTCGGTTCGTTGTTCGGCTTGTTGTTCGGCTCAATGCTCAAGTCTGTACGAGGCTTTAAACAGCAACCTTTAAATTTTGTTTTTTTTGTTAATTTTTTAATATTAAGTTTATTTATTATAAATAAATAATCATTAATTAACTAAAGTGTAATGTACATTTAAAATTTTTCAACATTTACATAAATAAAGTAGCTTAAAAAATCACAAAGCGTTTTTTAGCTTTATTACGGCTAAAAATTGTTATTTATTGACCGGTCTATATTAAATAAAATAGGTCCGGGCCGGGCCGGGCCGGGCCTAATAATTTACTGACCGGGCCGGGCCAGGATATAGTGACTAATTTTCGGGACCGGGCCTGAAAAATTCGGCCCGTGCAGGGCTCTAATCGGCACCATCGGCATATATTTTCGCCGATGGCTGAAAATTGCAACCATCGCGATGCATCGGCGCTGATGCCGATGCCGATCCATCGGTCGAGTGGGGTAAATTTAAAAAATGGAGGGACAAATTTGCACAGGGAGGAAAATTTAAAAATGGGAAAAAATTGCAGTGCTATACATATAAAAAAATAGTGCAAAAATTTTGTAAATTTTAAACATTTATTTTTTTTAATCTACAAAATTTCCAATTTTTGTTTAAATTTTGATTTTTTTTTAAATCTACGAAATTTCAAAAATTTGCAACACAAATAGTCTGGCCTAAAAATAAACAAAATTTTAAAATTTCCAAAAAATCAGAATATTTTCAAAATTAACAAAATTTCAAAAACTTTCAAAACTCTAGTACGTAGCGTCCGAAGAATAAATTACAGTTACCTGTAGGTAGGACAAATTCGCACCGTGAGGTAAATTTAAAAAATGGCGGGATAAATTTGCACAGTGGGTTAAATTTAAAAAATGGAAGGACAAATTCGCACAGTGAGGTAAAGTTAAAAAATGGGGGATAAATTCGCAAAGTGCTATACATATAACAAATTGTTGCAAAAATTTTAAAAATTAACATTTCTCGCAAAATTTTTAAAATAACCAAATTTTTTCAAAATTTAGAAAAATTTTCAAAATTTACAAAATCTCAAAAACTTTCATAATTTGTACATAGTTTGTGCCACTTTCTCTGGCCTACACACCACAGCCATCCGGCACTCATTAGGTCTAAAAATACCGAAACAGGCTGTCTGTTGGTGTCTGTTTGTGAAAGCACACTGAAAAAAAAACGCGGTTTCGAGGTAAAAGGCCAGTCCTCTCCACATGCCAATTCTTACACTTGGCTTTTAATGCTGCAAAGTTTTTATTCAAAATTGGCTTTTAGCCGTGTCGCGAATACTATAACCAAGGTTTTCCTTTTTTGTTCCTTCTTTATTGCTTTTATACATGCACTTCTCTTAACGCCACACATCTAAAACAGTCGAATAGTGGTTGAGCCTTTCGACCTTGATTGTTTTTAAGAGGCGGCTTGAAAGTAGCACGGAAAAATTTTAACATCAATAAAAATTAGCTTTAATAAGATTCTTGCATTGAAAAATTGTACTGTTATGTACCACAATCCATATTAAAAAGCACGAAGTTAGGCAACCAACTGCACAGACTTGAACGGCGGCAATTTTTATGTTGTTTACATTTCTTATTCTTCGGGTTGGGTTGGGTTGGTATACAGATTTATAATCGTTTTAAAAGTTGTGTTTCTTACAGGCACTTGTAAGGGGCCGTTCATTAATTACGTGAGGTGTTTAGGGGGGGAGGGGGTCGAGCCAAACCTCACCAAATCTCACGTGAGGGGAGGGGGGGGGTCTCGGCAAATATCACGTAATTTTTTTTTCCGAAAGAAAGAGTGTAAAATTGCGAGAAAACTGGGTTAAATTAAGTAAACAATTATAAGCAAATTGTTTTTTTTAATAAATCTAATAGAATCAAGCACAGATTAACTTATTTACATTAAAACCATGCATTTTAAAAAATCTCACGTGAGATTAAGGGGGGGAGAGGGGGTCGAGCAAAATCTCACGACATCTCACCAAGGGGAGGGGGGGGTCGAAAAATCGCCAAAATGGTCTCACGTAATTAATGAACGGCCCCTAAGCCTCAAATGAGGCCTTAAAGAGCTAAGGGCAACCATTTTACTCCTCTTTTGCAAAAAATAAACCTTATTCTATGAGGGCTCTCATCAAAATGTCAAATATTAATTTTAAGGTTAATTTGGGGGTATGGTAAATTTGTGGGTTATGGCACAATACACAAAAACCGCGCATGTGACGTCACCTGCGAACCAGACTCAAATGTTACAAACAGTTTTGCAAAGGCATACCTACGCTATGCACGGATGTTTTACTACGATTTCTTTTAATTTTTGGTATACCCAATTTTCTTAATTCTTACTAATAATAAAAATTAAAACACAATCGTATCGGAAACCCGCTTCAAAAGTGTCACAAGTAAAAAAAACAGTTTCGAGATATTTTTTTACTTTTGACGCTTTAAAGCGAGCGTGCGTTATTATCTGTATAAGTGCATTTTTATAATTTTGTTACCTTTCACATTAAAAAAATCTATAATTCGGTCTAGCGTGAGTTAAGTTAATTCAATTTAATAAAAAATATTTAACAAAATAGGAAAATAAGGAATGAGGGAAATTAATTTTTGCTTAAAATTTGTTACATTAGTATTAAAAGCGCTTGCTGGCAATTTAACTTTATCTTATAATTTGTTACACCCAGGCTTTCCCTATATTTAATAACATTCCAATCCAGTTACCCGCCAGCTTTTGGTTCGCACATGACGTCACATGGGGCGAGAGAGATATCTATAACATGCGCATCAGCATACCGGTTTTTGTGTATCGTGGGTTATGGTAAATTAACCATAAAATTGACATTTGACAGTGTTGACAGCACTGATAGAATAAGGTTCATTTTTTACAAAGGAGATATGATTGTTCTGCCTCTGTAAGAAACTCAACGTTAAAAATCTGTATAAACAGCACAAACCCAAAAAACCAGAATTGTAAACAACTTAAAAATGGCCGCCGCTACAGGCTGTGCTGTTGGTTGCCTAACAACGAACATTTTAGCTATCCACAACAATTATATATTCGCTTAGTATTTTCCGCCATTAAGTTTATAACCTAAAACTTTTAAAATGTCATGTTTCATATATGAACTAAAACCTAAATTTTGTCGTTTCCAGCGACTCAACGCAACACGAGGAAGATTCCGAAGACAAATCACCGCTTTTGAGCAACCAGCGCAACTCTAGTCAGGAAAACCAACGCGCCAAATTGTTAGAAGCCAAGTTTAACGAAAAAAATACCAAAACAAAAAGCATATACGAGAACCCCATCGAAAAAAGCGAAGCGGAAAACTTGCTCAAGAAAGTCATTATAATAGATACTGTTTTCAACAGATCGAAGCTATCTGAAGATGACAGACCAGTGCTTCACGTGCAGTTTAACAGCGAAAAAATCAGCGATAGTTCCATCGCGAAGGATCCTAGTTCTAGCCGTTCATCTAGTAGTCTATCAGGTTCTAGTTCTAGTAGTAGCAGTGAAAGTATTATACTTACCGAGGCGAGACCGCCCGATGGTGGATGGGGCTGGGTCGTGGTTATGGCCTCGTTCGTAGTCAATTTAATCGCGGATGGTATAACATTCTCCTTTGGTGTTATCTTTGTGGAGTTCCTCAATTACTTCGGCCAAAACCGTGGCACTACAGCCTGGATAGGAGGTTTATTCATGGCTATGCCTCTACTGTCAGGCCCCATCGCTAGCTTTTTAACCGATAGATATGGGTGCAGGAAAGTCACCATATTTGGTGCTATTTTAGCTTCTATAGGTTTTATTATATCCTCTCAAGCCAATAGTATGACGGTGCTATGCATAACCTTCGGTATATTAGCAGGTTTCGGTTTGAGTTTGTGCTATGTCGCATCAGTGGTTATAGTCGCGTATTATTTCGACAAAAAACGTTCATTTGCTACAGGGTTAGCCGTTTGTGGTAGCGGAATAGGTACATTCATATTCGCCCCTCTCATACAAGCGTTATTAGATGAGTATGGATGGAGGGGTACCACTTTAATATTAGCTGGATTATTTTTAAACCTCGTGGTGTGCGGAGCCTTGATGAGGGATCTTCCGTGGACCTCCGAGCAACAAAAACAGGCCGCCAAAGAGAGGAAGCGTAATCGAAAGGAAAAGCGAAAAAATAAAGGTTCATCGGCTGATAGTTTCTCGGTTAGTAACAGCACCAACACCGCCAGCGTCCTACAACCGATTCTAGAGCACAAAGAGTTGGATAAAGAAGATTTAAAGCACTGCAGCAGCTTGGTAAACCTACCTACATACGTAAGAAACGGCGAGAAGGTGCCCATAGAAGTCCTAGAGTTACTTAGCACCCACAAAAACGTTTACAACGTTTTGATGACGAATTATCCGAACCTCTTGACGCCATCGAGAAGTTTCAGCGAGTCCGGTAGACTACACGATGTTAACTTCATGTCGAGTAAATACGCGCAGTCGCAGTGTGCCACATCACCGCCAGCCAATCATAACGAAGACTCGGCTTACTTGTGGTGGCTCAAGAGAAACCAACTTACACCTCCTCGCATGAACCCACAGAAAAAATTGCAGACGACCACTGCGTTTCTGAGGGATTTACGTATACACAGATTATCCGTTACGTATAGAGGCGCTATGTTGAACATTAATAGATACCGACTACGCGCGTCTTCTTGCCCGGACATATATAGAAACTCCATGACCACCATTGCCAAAGAGAAAGTCGTGTGGTACTCCGCCGTCTGGGATCTGTGGGATTTGTTGGTCGATATGTTCGATTTCTCTCACTTCGCAGACCCCAAGTTTTTTCTATTCGCCATTTCCAACTTCCTTCTCTACACTTGGTACGACGTTCCTTACGTGTACCTCACCGATAATGCCATAAGTCTAGGATTTTCCGACAAGGATGCCTCCATGTTGATTTCCATCATCGGGATTATTAATATGTTGGGCGAGGTAAGTTTTTGAATCTTGGTTAGCGTTATATTTACAAAGTCTTCTTTCTAGATTATTTTGGGATGGGCCGGTGACCAACCATGGGCAAACGCCAGTACCATCTACGCCGTCTGCATGGGCCTTTGCGGAGGGATAATAGCCCTAATACCCCTACTTAAGACCTACTATCCCATATGCTTCGTATCAGGGGCATTCGGTTTTCTGATAGCTGCAAATTATTCCCTGACCTGCATCATACTTGTGGAACTAATTAGTTTGGAACGTTTTACAAACGCTTATGGGTTGCTCTTGTTGGTACAAGGGGTTGCCAACTTAATTGGACCTCCGTTGGGAGGTAGATATATGGATACAATCTGAAGGTTGAATAGAAACAAATTAAACTTATACTTTTTTAGGTTGGCTATACGACATCACTGGTACCTATGATCTCTCATTCTTCCTGGCAGGGTTTTTCATCGCCATTTCCGGCCTGATGCTCTTCATACTTCCGCTGGCGAAACGACTGAAAAAATGTTTGAACAAGAAAAAACCAGACGACAAAAATTCGACCCAAAATTCCATCAAAAACGAGGAAAATGCCGAAACAGGCGGGTTTTTCTCGTGTTGCGTCAGGAACAAGAACCAAAAAAACGAAACTGATCACGTCAGCAAAATCTAATAACAATCCTTCCCTTACCCACAAGTGAACTTAAAATTGGCGTTTTCTAGGAGTTTTTACTAGTTTCCAACTTTGGCAGCCAAAAAATGAAGATTCTTACGAATATAAGAAAAATTACCAAAAAAATATTTTAAAGTAATTATTACTTTGTGTTATTTTTGACTTAATTAATATTTCCATTGAAAAAAATGCAAAATTACCAAAAAATTACTTTCAAGTAATTATTACTTTGTGGTATTTTTTTCAGTTTTTGACTACATTGATATATTCATTAAAAATTAAGAAACTTTTATTTTATGGTAATTATTACTTTGTGGTAATTTTTTGGGTATTTCTCCCAAATCGTCCTTTTTCGCTGCTGTAATTTTTCTGGTAAAAAAAATTGGCGTAGGCCTCGTTTTACCGGGGAGTTAAGATATTTGCAATATTAATAATAAAGGCCTCTAAAAAAGGTCGCGATAGTGTTATAAAAATAAGGAATGTTTTTTGAACGATTCTTATAACTTTTTTGATATATCCATTTGGATTGTTCCTTAGATTCTTTACAAAGTAAGGTTAAATAAATTAAAAGCTGTTGATGGTTTTTTTAGTGACCTAACATAATATACCAATAATTTACTACCTCTTTAAAAGATTTTTGACAATTATTGATAGCTCATTTTTCTATTAGGATTATAGATAATACTTACCAAACGCGAACTTTTTTAAAGTGATTGTAAAGATGTCCAAAAAATAAAAAAGTATTTATTTTATTATTATTTTTAAGTTTTAAAACACATTTTATGTTTGTCGTGGTTGCTTTAAAAAGTTTGCAATTGGTAAAAATAAGTAGAAAAATTCTCAAGTAGATTTTTTCGAATCTCAGGTTCTAAAATAAAGATCTGTAAATACAAAAACTAAATATAAACAAATTAAATAATTATTGATAAAGTATTATTTATGTTGTAAAATTCGGCCCAATTAATAAAAATAACTAATAATAAAAATAATATTCTAAAAAAGAAAATTTTTAAACTTGTTATGAATTCCTATACGTAGCCACTGCGTAGGTGTTTTTAGTAATAATCACCCTAAATGTACTAACATATAACCTTAGATTTAAAGGTAAGACTCCAATTATTGAAATTTTCATGAATATAGGGCTGTGGCGAATTTCCTAGAATAGATTACCCAGATGGTATAATAGACTCCATGGCACTAATCTCTGCTGAAATCGGCAAAATTACCAAATTATGACTAGAAAGTAATTATTACTTCATGGTAATTTTTTGGTTATATTTTGTTAATTTTGCAAGAATAAAGAAAAACGTAATATTACCAAAATATTTCCATAGAGTAAAAATAACCTGGTGGTAATTTTTTGGTAATTTTAGGATAATAATAAATTATAATGCACTTTTTTGATATTTTTCGAGTTTGTCATTCAAAAAATGAATTTTGGGGTTTCACACATTGCTTTATCGTTTGAAGAAACAAACACGGTCACGAATGGGGGTAATATTTTAATAAAATAACAGATGAAAAATGTGCCAAACTCTTTTGTTTATTTGAATACAAAGCGTAACTGTGATTTGATGTGCGACGTAGTTAGGATTTAAGTTATTTTTTTGTTTTGCACCAACCAAGCAGGAAAACCCAAAAGTTATAAGACACATGTATACAGGGTGTCCCAGACAACCTGTTCCATATTTTTTAAGTTTTAAAGAATTTATTTGTTTAAGTTTTTAGAGAATTTATTTTCATCGTTTTTGGTTTTTTTCAATTAACATTTCTTCAGTAAATAAAATAAAATGAAGATGTTTGTAGGTCTTAAAAAAATAATAGCAGTATTTTTTAATTTAAAGTTCTATTTTTTTAAATTTATGTATATTACAAGGAATTCTTTTCTTGTGTAATTGTTAGTTCATTTATTTTACCTGTATATCGTATTATTAATAATAGATATTAATAAATTTAAAGGTTACAAAATAAATACTATACCCAAAGTACTTAGAGTATTTTATTTACTGCTAAAATAAATTTGACCCTAAACTCTGCAGAATACCCCTTTTATTACCAACTTGGCCAAGGTCAAGGATCTTTGGATCGATCAAGTAGTTTTCATGCTGTTTAATCAATACTTTTATGTCTGAGTTTCATTAAAATAAAATCCGCAACTTTTATTTAGAATACATTTATTTTACCTAAATTAATTAATTTGAATTAGCTAACTAGTTCCTTTTCCACGGGACCTTTACCTATAATTTTTCTATTTTTCGTGTATGGTATTATACCCACTAAAACCCCAGATACGACTATCCAAATGGCGGCTTGGTAAAATGAGAGGGCCCATGATCCTGATACATCAAAAAGATGCCCTGAAAATATACATTTAAAATTTTGTTTTTATTATAAAATAAAAGAATAAACATTGGTTATTTAGAGGATGCTTGAAATGGAGTGTCTAAATACAAAATCAATTACTCATCTGGCTTAACTATCTATAATTTTGTTTTTATTATAAAATATGAAAGTAAACATGTGGAGGATGCCTGTGTCTATTATCCTAAGGAGGCTTAAATGTGGTGTCCTTATACTAAATTAACTCCTCCTCCTGCTAAAGTTTGTGATTTTGGGTCGAATTTGGAAAAAGCTTATACTGACGTTTTATTTATGGAAGGCTGGGGTCTATAATCTCAGGATGGATTATTTTTGGGTCTAAATACTAAATCAATTACTCTCCTCGCTAAACTATCTATAATTTTGTTTTTAATATAAAATATAGAAGTAAAAATTGTTATTTAGAGGATGCCTGGGTCTATAATCTCAAGGAGGGTTAAATGTGGTGTCCTAATACTAAATTAACTACTCGTCCTGCTAAAGTGTCTAAAATTTGTGATTTGGGGTCAAATTTGGAAAAGCTAATTCTGAATTGTTATTTATGGAAGGCTGGGGTCTGTAATCACAGGATGGATTATTTGTTGGGTCTAAATACTAAATCGCTAACCTATCTATAATTTTGTTTTTAATATAAAATATAGAAGTAAACATTGTTATTTAGAGAATGTCTGGGTCTATAATCTCAAGGAGGGTTAAATGTGGTGTCCTAATACTAAATCAATTACTCTTCTCGCTAAACTATCAATAATTTTGTTTTTAATATAAAATATAGAATTAAACATTGCTATTTAGGGGATGCCTGGGTCTATAATCTCAGGGAGGGTTGAATGTAGTATCCTAATACTAAATTAACTACTTATCCTGCCAAAGTGTCCAAAGCTTTGTTCATACCTGCATATGGAGGGCCTAATAAATTCCCTATACCCATACAGAGCAATTGTAGACCGTAAGCGATGGTAAACCTGTCCAGTGGTACCAACTCCACCAATATTCCAGGGGTAAACGAAAATGAACTGGACAAAAAGAGGCCGAATAATCCAGCATTGACTAAAAGTAGCACGAAATTTTCGGTAAAAAACATAATTCCTGCACATGAAAAACCACATAGGATCAGTGAAACTGCGTATGTTTTTGTTATGCTCATCCAAGGTTGGTCGCCGGCCCACCCTAAGCTCACCTAAAACAAATTTATATACATTATTAGAAAAAAACTCTCTTTAAAACTATTACCATTCCAATGGTGCTGGTTATTCCAATGACTGACATGGTAAGAGATGCTTCTTCCTCTGTATATCTGTACCTAAGCATATGTTCAGCCAAGTAAAAATAAGGCACTATGAACCATACGAAAAATATTATCGTGGATAATGATAAAAGAAAAAAATGGAGTTCCAAGAATAGGGAAAAATCCAGCATTCCCTTGACTAGGTCTACGAATTCTGAATACCATTTCTAAAAAAAAATTGAGCAATTTAAATTTTAAAAACACATCTATCTTACCTCTTCTCTTTCCTTCGGTATATGTGCCATTGAAACCTTGTAAATATTTGGACAACTAGAAGCCCTCAATCTGTATTTTTGATTGTTAAAAATGGCTCCTCTGTGCACCAAAGATTGCCTATGGAATTTGATGTTCTTAAAGTAACTTTGGTGTCCTGTGGGGGCTGTTGGTTGGTTTTTGAACCAAGGGAAGGAATGATTTCTCTTTGGGGGCGAATTTTGTACTTTTTGTGGTTTTTCTAGTAGAGGTTCTTCGACCTCCAAAGCCAAAGTTTCCTCTGGCAAAGAGTACTAAAAATTATCATTTTAACTAAATAAGGTAAAATAAAAAAACGTGGTTTTACTTGATGTATTGGCGCTTTAGGTTTCTCTTTTTCAGCCTTCTTGAGTTTCATAGAGAATGTCACAGGTACTCTGTCCAGAATCATAGATACATTTTCTGCTATTTTATCCAGTCCTCTATCCGAAGTGCTTCTGCATAGGAGCAAACTTGGGTAGTTTTCCAGAATTATGTTATATAGTTTTTTATTTGAGCTAAGTTGTTCTAAAACTTCTACAGGTACCTAGAACATTAAAAAAATGGATGGGGTTCTCAAAAATTTTATCACTTAAGTACTTTTTCATTTTCCTTGATAAACGTTGGAAGATTGACCACAGACTGATGCGTTTTCCTGAGAACGACACTCGTAGAATCTTTCAGAGAAGTTTCCAGACTTTGCAACAAATATTCCGCATCCTTCCCACTTTTAAGAATCTCTTTGATCTCATTTATATCCACCACGTTCTGAAAGTTCGACGAAATCGACACCAAACTGGTTTTTGACGATTTTCCCGACTTCAAACTCCTTTCATTGGTCCTGTAATAAGAAAATTAGCTTTTATAGACACCCTTTAAGGTAACTTACTTGTTTTGTTGTATTATCCAATCAGGATCTCGCATTAGGGCTCCACAAACACATATATTTAGAAAAGAACCTGATAGTAACAAAGTGGTGCCCCTCCAACCATATTCTTTTATTAAGTATGTTGTAAGGGGTGAGAAAACGAAGGTACCTATGCCGGTACCAGCGGCACCCAAGCCTACTGCAAGCGTACGTTTTTTATCGAACCAAAATGCTATGGAAACCACTGCTGTGACGTAGCATAAACCCAAACCTAGGCCTGATAGGGTACCAAAGGTGAGGTACATGATTCCGATGGAGTTCATTCTGGAGCTCACAATGAATCCTATGGCAGATATTAAACCTCCTATGATCGTCATTGATCTACATCCATATTTATCCACAAAAGCTGACATGATGGGTCCTGTTACCAAAGGTACAGCCATGAATAAAGATCCTATCCACGAGGTGGTGGATTTTGAACTACCGAATTCGTGGAGAAATTCCACGTAAAGAAGACCAAATGATAAACTGATTCCGTCAGCAATCATTGATAGAATCAGAGAGGCGAATACAATCATCCAACCCCATCCCCCATCGGGAATTTTGGGGTTTTGATGGTCTTCGTCGTCGTCATCACTTGATGAAGATGACATATCGAACTTAACCTCTGATTTTTCACCCTCATCCACAATTGGCAGTGTTAGAGCTTCTTCATACAATTTCCTACTGGGGCTGGATTCCAATGACGGTGCGATATTTGATAAACTCTCCAAAGGAGCCTTATTCTCCATAATAATTCAATTAAATGTCACAAATACTCAATAATATTAAAATCGAAATCTGCATCCAACGTTTTGACCAACCTCTCAGGTTCGACTTTGGGTCTCTGCTCAGACTTATTGAGGTTATTTTAACGTGTGATGTCATCAATAACATAACTTGCAAATTTGTGGAGTTGAATTTTTGGAGGTGGAGGTTTTAGGCAGTTCTTGGTGCGGATGGTTGCATTGTGAATATCTGAAAGAGAAAAGCATTATATTTTTATCAAAACAACACATGTTCAATTAATTGACGCTAAAACATAAAACCCATTACAAAAACGTATAAAATAAATTAGTAACGTTGGCATTGGATTGCGTACCAAGTGATAAAACAAAAAAATTAAGCATTTGTTAAATATTTCCAAATGAATATTCATTCAACTAATCTAGACGCCTTGGAAAGTGGCAGTTTGCCGGCATTCGCCTATTTGATTAGCACGTGAACTCGAATTGTTTATAGTGTTTATTTATTTATTGTTATATTGTGGATGGGCAGGATATTGGCAATTGTAGCGAATATTTTACGTGATCCGACACACCTTTTCAGTAGTTTTTTGTGTTATTTTTGTTGGTAAGTACCGTAATTTATAAATTTACAATATTATATTTAAAAATATAACATAACATAACACCTTGTACCTCAAAAAAGCAAGATCGTCTTTTTTAACTTACCTATATATAGGTTCAAAAAAATCTAGGCCAGTATTTCAATATTTCAAGGTTACCGTAATTGTGTTAAAGAGTTGTTTTTGTAGTATACAGGGTGACCCAACAAAAACAAAACAGTTTTTTTATATATAAACATGTTTTTTTCATGATAATTGGTGCAGCAAGCCCTTTTAAATGAGGTATCACTTGCCCCAACATATTTCGATTGTTTATATACTTATCTAACAACCGTGTAAATATTTGCAATGTTAAAAATGTTTGCTGTGAAAATTATTAACCAATAAATTAATCATGATTCACTAAAACATCATCAGATTAACAGATAAAAATCGATTTTTAATAATATATCGCAGTTTTGTTACTAGTAGGAAAAAAACTTGATGTAGACAAGAACATGGAAAACAGTCGCGCTCCTTTGGTGAGGATTAGTTCAGTGGCGCCCAGCTTAGAGGCTATAGAAGAAAATGAGGAAAATCCGGATAATATGGAAAAAATAGACCGCAGATTTCAAGGAAGGGAATCAGTGATATCCTCCCAGGTTAGCTTGTACATAAAAACAAAAAACCCGAAAATACCAGACGGGGGATGGGGTTGGTGGGTCGTGTTCGCCGCTTTCATCATCAACATGGTCTCCGATGGTGTTTGTTTGACTTTTGGGCTTCTCTATGTGGAGTTTTTACATGAGTTTGGCGCCTCAAACTCGGCCACTTCCTGGATAGGCTCCCTCTTCATGGCAGTACCCCTTCTAGCAGGGCCTGTGATGAGTGCCATGGTTGATAGGTATGGGTGCCGATCCATGACCATTTTGGGGGCTATCATATCCGCTACAGGCAAGTACTTTGCAGCAACAATCTATTTTGTGTTAAAATACATAACAACAATACCGACATACTTTTCCATGCCAGTGAACATTTGTAGAATAAAATAGAATAACTTATTGCATAATTCCCTAATAGCACAACTGGTTAAATTAACGTTATAGACTATAACTATAGAGTCTATAGACTACATTTTTTCTGATAAAGTAGTACATAATACTTTATTTATATTTTAAATGCGCTTTGAAAAAAATAAGAAATAAATAAAATAAAAAAAATATATTTTTTCTGTCTAATATTTCATTAGATCGTTTGAAATTGATTTAAAATAATTTTAAACATAAAATAATATCATGTTTCGTTATTGGTTTGTTTAAATTACCTTATTTTCGAAATTATTAAAATTTTCCTCTTGTTAGAATGGACAGCAAACAATATGGCGATTTTAGGATGCATTTACTTATTGGTTAAATAACCAATATAAATTAACCTGCAAGTATTTTTAACCATTTGGTTATATTATTGTGTTTAATTTAACTACTTTATTTACTTATCGGTAATTTATAACTTTTTTGGTTTTGTTTTAAATTCGGTTAATGTAACACATTATAGTTAATAATTACCAAAATTAGTTAAATTAAACTAACTTGCTAATTTTAAAATAACTAACCAATAAATTCCCGCCGATCTTACGTTCTGATTTTAGTGCAGCCCTGCTTTATTTTTATAAAACGCATCTCCCAAGCAGCATTTTAAGTAAAAGCGTAGAGCTTTGAGGCAATATTAAATTAACCTCGAAGTAAAACTTTTTTAAAAATTTAAAAAGTTTTATTTATGTTATTTTTACCTATTTTAATAAACCATAAGTTTCAACACTTTAAAGTATTATGAGGGACATAATTTTTACGAAAGAAAATTACTTATAAGTGTATTTCACCTAAAGGAAAATTTAATGGTAATTTTAACGTCAGAATTTTTACTTAATGGTAAATGTTACGCATAAGTCATAATTTAACGATATTAAGACCAGTTTATACCGTAAATAATTCCTAGTCGCCTGGTATTTTTTAGGGTTATTAATGGTAATAATTACTATTAATATTGACTAAACAAGGAAAAATAAGCTTAAAGTGAAAAATAAAACTTTAAGGAAAAGGTCAAACAGTGTTTTAATTCTCAATATCAAGGAGTAGTCGGATTCTCCTAAAAATCCGTATAAAGAGGTTTTTGGGGTCGCTGATAACGAATCTGGAATCGAAATTCCAAAATTCAAAATAATAGATCCAAAATGGCGGACATATTTGTCAAAAAATTGACGGAATAAATTGAAAATCACCATACAGGGGTTTTTGTGATCGATGATAATGAATCTGGAATCAGAATTCCAAAATTCAAAATGGTGGACCTCAACTGGCGGACATTTTTATCAAAAAATTGTCGAAATTAATTAAAAACCTGTAAGAGGTTCTTTTTAAAATCTAAATAAAACATCTTTTTATAAAATAGCTTAATTTAGTTTATTATAATTACATTTGTATGATATTATTTAATACCTACATATATATTAAACAACACAAATAACCACAATTCAAATTTGTCATTAACACACTACAACGCGCATGCGGAGTTGTTTTAACACACCTACAAGAGGTGGGTTAAATAGGTATGTAAAATCGGTATTAAATATCTTAGTAGTCACGAATGATTTACGCAAGTGAAAGTCTAGACACCGCTGTTGTAATAAACGTTTTGAGTTAAATCCGAGTGAATCGAGAAAACGCCCAACCCAGAAATAAAAAAAAATCTTATATTTTGTAAAGCAAAAACACAGATACGCGCGCGACATAGGCTTAAAATCGCGAGGTTTTTTATAAAAAACCTTGTGGTATACCACAACCATGCCTGAGCGCCCAAGAACATGTAGTTTTAAAGAGCCGGGGGCGAGTTGGGGCAGATAATTTATTAATGGCTTGATAGACAAAACTCTAAGCTATTCAACGGATCTTACAATTCATTACAATTTTTGTAGCTCCATTGTTCTAAAAGCTCGATTCAAAGTTTGCGATTTTAACAGACCGATCTTGTCGGTTACAATTACCCGTTGTACAAGCAAAATCTACGAAAAACAAATACATATCTGAATTTTACATACCTTGAAGATCACCCTTTATCAAACCGCATAACAATCGGACACACCAAACTCAAGTTATCCACTTTTAAACAATTTTCCGCAGCCATCGCGTGTAAAGTATACCTTCAACTGAAAGCGTCAAGTTTAAACTGATGTACAAGACAAAATATACGTATTTTTTTCAATATAGGATGGAGACAGGTATAAACTACCCATATAACTCAAAAATTTCCTGATGAAAAATGTCAATTTTTGAGGTTTTGCCGATATTTTCGAGAAACCCAACCCAACCCTGTGGGTCGCCATAATGAGTTTTTTAAGATGGCATCCATTACTTATCTAAACATTTATATAATGTTTTTTTATAAATATTTTTCTAAAATGTAATACCTAAGGAATGTTTTAGTTATTAAAAAATGATGAAAACTAAATGATTTTTGAAAGATTTTATAAAATTTTGTAGGTTTCTGGTTTAAAGTTTTGTTGAATTTTTACCCAAGCAATAATTTTTCTTAAAACCGTAAAATATTTAGAAGGCATATAATTTTTAAGATGTATCGTGCCTATTTTTATCAATAAAATAATGTGCGTTTGAGTTTTAATGCAAAATGTTATTATTTTTGACAATTTAGGTTATATTTTTTAATAGCCTTTATTACCTTGTAAGTACCATTTTGTAAAATATAAATTAAAAGAACAAAGAAATTACGAATGTCAATGTGTTAGAAAGAGAGAGCAAACAGTTAGTAATTATAGCGTTATTTTTACGTAAATTTGTGGTATTTATATTGTTTTTATTACGTTATTCTCTTAGTAGATCAAAAAGGTTATTATGTAAGTAAAATAACGAAATAAACCATTCCCCAAATTTGGTAATTTTTTGTATCTATACCGTTATAAAACCATTTTGGTTGACCGTAAAAAATACTTTAAAGTTGACTTAGTAGTAAATTTGTAGTTATTTAAACCTAACTTCTGTGATAAAACCTATAGATGCTTACTAAATTAATTAAATTTGAGGGGACTGTTTTAAGTTTTGTAGATAAATAATGATTTACAATTTTATTTTTTAAAGTTATTTCTTTAAAGCTCTATTATCACACAAAACTCACAACTTATAAATTTAAGTATAAAGCTGCTGATTTTTCCATGCAAGTAACAATGAAAACTGCAAAACGAGTTTATTAATTAACGTTAATTTACCGGCAAAGTAAAATATATTTGGTAAAATATAACTAGTTGGTTAAAAAAATTATCCAAATTAACCGGGGTAAATTTACCAAAAACCTAGTTTTGAACTCTATTACCAACAGGTTTCTTTTATTAGTTAAATATTTAATAACCTTTGAATTTACCTTAAGGTTATAGTAACCGGTTGGTAAATTTAAAGGGTTATTTTTTAGTTCATAGTAACCTTAAAAAATGTTAATGGTTCAATACAACTAATTGGTTGAAGAACAAGTTTTAAAAAACTTTTCTTTAATTAGATTTTGGTTAATTTACTTAGAATGCCAGTTATTTAACCAGTTATGCTACTTGGGTACGTTGATTAATTTCAATTGTACATTTTTTATGTAAAACTTTTTTTTAGGATTTTTTGCCAGCGCCTTTGCCCCAAACATCATTGTGATGTACTTCACTTTTGGAGTAATAGGAGGTGTAGGTTTGGGTTTATGCTTCGTCACTGCCGTTGTTTCCATAGCTTTCTGGTTCGAAAAAAGAAGAACGGTTGCCTTGGGGTTAGGTGCTTGCGGTACAGGTTTTGGCACCTTGGTCTTCTCTCCTTTGTCGACGTTTTTGATCCAGGAATACCATTGGAGGGGCACCCTGATCATTTTGTCGGGGTGTTTTTTGAATTTGGTGGTGTGCGGAGCCTTGATGAGGGATCCACAGTGGGTAAAAGACGCGGAATCGTAAGTGTTTTATTATAATTAAGAATAACTTCAGGTTTTATAGTTCTCTTCCAGGGATAGTGATGATAGTTCGGAAAAGTGTTCCTTAAATATTGAAGAAATTAAGGAATCGCTGATAAGGGGGAATACTGATGAATACATTTTGGAAAATTTTGACACCACTTTGAATTTAACGAATAAACCGATGATGAAATCTGTCGTTAACTTGCCTACCTTTGTTAGGCAAAATGAAACCGTTAGTGAATCTTAAAAAGTTTTAGTTCCTTTTTTATGTTTTATTTTTTTAGGTGCCAGTGGAAGTGTTGGAAAAATTAAGCAAAAACCAGAATCTCTACCAAGTCATATTAGAAAACTATCCAAACCTCTTGAAATCCAAAAGCAGTTCAGAGAAAGGTCTTAACAACATTACAGACTCGAAAACAACAACACCAGTGAAATTATCCATGAAACTGAAGAAAACTGAAAAAATAACACCACCAAAGGACACTCTTCAAGTAAAACAATACAGAAAATATTGTTTCAATTAAATGTTGTGTACTAAATTTTAGATTCCTCCAGTTAAATTCATAGAGAACGAACCTCATTTAACAAACAAACAAAAATTAAACACAAACACGCATCACTACCTCAAAAATATCAGATTCAGAAGAAATTCTATTATGCACCGAGGGGCCATGTTAAATACTAATCGGTACAGATTAAAGGCCTCGAGTTGCCCGAATATTTACAGAAATTCCATGATGACTTTAGCACAGGAAGAAGATGATGTAAGTATATATATTTGATTTAACGTAGCCCCATAATAAATAATCAAGAGGGGTGAGATCTGGAGATCTCGCTAGCCACTCTATCGGTCCTCGTCTTCCAATGCACCCCTCAGGAAAACATGTGTCCAAAAAAGTACGGACAGGACGCGCATAGTGCGGAGTTGCCCCATCCTGTTGGAACCAAATGTATCACTTGGTAGATCGGGACTTTCATTCTCATTAGGAGACATTTCCCCTAATGTGGGAAGAAGAGAGTTTTGCAAAAATTCCATATACGTTTGTCCTAACAGCTGTTATATTCCCGTCAAAGAAGAAAGGACCTATGATCCGATTTTCCACCATTCCTGCCCAGACATTTACTTTGCCGGTATTGGGAATTTGCCTCTTCTACCCAATGAGGATTTTCTCTGCTCCAATTTTGACGGTTGACTGTACCATTCAAACAGAAGGTAGCTTCGTTTGAAAAAAGTATTTTACGAGGAAAGTGTGGATTATTGTTACATAAATTCATCATGGTTTCACAAAATTTTTGTCTACGGGACAGATAATCTTCGTTAAGTTTCTGCACTAGTCTAATTTTGCAAGGATGGTACTTTTCTTTCTTCTTAAGACGTAATACTGAGCGTTTGCTGACTTGACTTTCAGCTGCGACTAGGCTAGAAGCACTGTGAGGATCTTCCACACTTAACAAAATGTCAATTTTAGTGTCTTCACTAATACTCGGACGGCCAGGTTTTGGAATATCTTTAACATGTCCAGTCTCTGAATTTTCGTTCAATTTTACTAACTGTAGCACGAGTAATAGATCGAGCTGGATACTTTGCATTAAATAAATTGCAAACTTCTTGTTGTGTTCTAGTTTCATTGCCACATCCTATGATAATTAAAAGTTCAATTCTATGTATTTCCATTAAATGGCCCATATTTAAATACTTCTAAATATTTGGAGAACGCTTAAGAGACAGATACTTCACTGAACGCTCAATAAAAACTATAACTTTTTATTTTAGAAATGGTATACCGTTTTCTTGGAAGTTGTGAAGGATGTCATGCAGTTTTCGCTGTTCTTGGAGTTGCATTTTTTCCTTCTGTGTCTCTCCACTGTAATTTTGTTCACGTGGTTTATAGTGCCTTATTTTTACCTGGTCAAACACATGACCATTTTCGGTTACAGTGAAAACCAGGCTTCTTTTGTGATAGCAGTCATCGGAGTTACCAATACAATAGGAATGGTAAGAAAAAGTGAAAATTACTACCGTAAAAGATTTTAAAAATTTTTCCTTGTTGACCGTATTTTGACATTTTAGGTTGTTTTAGGTTGGGCCGGCGACCGTCCCTGGATGAATGTAGGGAAAGCCTACGCAATCTGCCTCATGCTGTGCGGAATTTTCTGCTCCGCCATGCTGTTTTTTACCTCCAACCACACCATGATCGTGGTGTGCAGTGGTCTTTTCGGACTTTTCTTCGCGAGCACCTTCTCGTTCACGCCCACCATACTCGCGGATTTGGTGCCTATTGACAACTTCACCATGGCCTACGGTCTGGTTTTGTTGTGCCAAGGCATTGGCAATTTGATTGGGCCCCCTTTAGCCGGTAAGAAAATAAAACATTAATACCCGGTTAACATTTAACGTAACACAGTATTGCCGTTATGTAAAATAGGAGTCACATTACAATGTAACGATGTTACTAAAATGCAACGCAACAGTTGCCTAAAATAATGGTAATATTGTTACCGTTTCAAGTTAACCAATAGGCAATATAACAGCAACGTAACATTGTGAATTTATTGTAATATAATAAAATTATCAATAAGCAATATAACAATAACGTAACATTGTGAAACTATTGTAATGTAACAAAATTACCAATATGCAATATAACAGCAACGTTTTATTGTTAAATTATTGTAATATAACAAAATTATAATAGGCAATATAACAATAAGGTAACATTGTGGAACTATTGTAATGTAACAAAAGTACCAATAAGCAATATAACAGCAACGTAACATTGTGAAACTATTGTAATATAACAAAATTACCAATAAGCAATATAACAATAACGTAACATTGTGGAACTATTGTAATGTAACAAAATTACCAATAAGCAATATAACAGCAACGTAACATTGTGAAACTATTGTAATATAACAAAATTACCAATAAGCAATATAACAGCAACGTAACATTGTGAAACTATTGTAATGTAACAAAATTACCAATAAGCAATATAACAGCAAATTAACATTGCAATACTATTGTAATAAGTTTGTTACAGTTACATTTATGTTACGTAACAAACTTATACACATTTACATCTCGCTCGTGTTATCACCTCGGCTAGGTATATAAACGAAGTTAAGACAGCGCACCATGTCCATTTGTCATTGGACACAGTGTGCCTGATTATGGGAAAGTCAGAATACGATATTATGTATCATTTGATACGCTTTAGCGTTAAACTGACGGGACTTTCTCGTGCCGAGCATAATAACGTTGCAACGTAACAATGTTACATAAGCGTAAAGGCCATGTTATGTAACATAACTTGGATTGCAAAAATGTAACGGCAACGTAACATTTGCAACCATCAGGTTATGTAACTGTAATGTTACGAGTGTTGCATAACATTTTGGTTAATGTTACGTTACAGTTATGTTTCACTTTTATAACGGCAATGTAACATTGTTATGTAACAATTGTTACTCCAATGAGTGGGAAATAGGAACCTATTTTCAACCGTCAGGTTATGTAACTGTAATATTACACATCACAATCTTTACATATCATTTTGGTTAATGTTACGTTACAGTTATGTTTCACTTTCATAACGGCAATGTAACATTGTTATGTAACAATGTTACTTCTATAAGTGGGAAATAGGAATTTGCAACCATCATGTTATGTAACTGTAATGTTATACATCACAATCGTTACATAATATTTTGGTTGATGTTACGTTACAATGTTGACCCAGTAATTATTGATGCTACGAATATTTTTTTAGGACTTTTGTTCGATTTAACTCAATCATGGGACCAGAGTTTTTACCAAGCCGGTTTTTGGATAATTATTTCTGGTGTGCTAGCTGGTGTTATTCCCTACACAAAAAATACGAAAATCTTGGGAAAAAAAACATAAAGAAAAAATATAGTTATAGGTACATACTAGCACAAACGAAGTATACATTACTAGTAAAAACATGTTTTATTTTTTTAAATTAAATCGATTTAATAATTTATATCCAATATCTCTAAAAACTTAATAAAAATCAATTTTCTTCATAATAAATCATGTCATTAGGTTTTCAACGTAATAATTTTTCTATAAATAAACTAAGAACGTCTGGTGTCGTTCTAGTCCCTACCAGTTATTTATTCATATTATGAAAATCATAAAAATAGCTTAAATTGAACTTGGCTTCATTAATGCAACCGATTTGCGTCAAAAACCACACGAAAAATAAATAAAGTGAATTTGTTTTCCTGTGCGATTTTCCCATTTTCAAAACTGTATGAGGATCATTTTGACCAGCCTCTGCATTCTCCAGATTTGGCCCCCTTTGACTCAAAAACTGAAAAAAGTGTTGGCTGGGAAGATATGCCTCATAGATACTTAAGTCATATTTTATTACAGGAATACTGCAATTTTTTTAACATTAGTTTAATTAATTAATAGTAAAAAATTATAAGTTAAACGTTGTAATTTAAATTAAACTTTGGTAATTGTAAAAAAATTGCTTGGGTTTATTTCATTTTATTTAAAAGGTGGTGAGAGAATATGAGCAATGTAATCAAAAACTATTTATAAAATTAAAGAATTTTACACTGAAATAAATACAATATAATTATAACGTTATTTATGTAGCGATTTAACTAGTAATATTGATTTTATTTAGAAAATGTATGCAGCATGTACATATTAACAAATATTTATACCTTCACAAATTCTTTAATGAAATATATCTACTTATACTTACATATTATTTTAATATAAAAGAATATCCCTTTACACTGAAATTCTTAGTGGTTATCACATACAAAATTTCACCGTGAAAACCGCTGAGTTCGCGTCTTTGTTTATTTGTATTTTTTATTTGGAGACCAACGCGTGGCGTCTATTAGGTGAATCAGCTGAGCTGATGCGAAAAGCGTCCCGACAAAAACTGAGCCAAGTTTGTAAAGCACGTCGTCAAGAAATTCAACCTTAAGGTGAACCGTTTCGCTCATGCGGACTAAAAATGTGCCACTGAAATTCGCCAATGGTTAAAAATTTTACATTTCACTTTCACCTACATCTTGAAAATTCGGTTTGTTTGTTCAAAAAGAATTGTTTAGCATGCCAATGTATGTCAATAGAAGATTTAAAGGTACATTAAGGTATAATAAGCATTCAGGTAGGTACTTAAATTTTCTTTACCTTTGCAATGAAAGTTTACAGGCACCTTTGAATCGTCAAATAAAATCCATTTGGTTAGGTTAATATTATGCAACCCATGTTACATTACTTCCTATTTCTATATTTGGGGCAATCCATGCCAAATCACCGAGGTTTTGACCCGACCCCCTTCGATTTCGCTGAAACTTTTTTATCATTTTCTATCCTACCAAAGACATTTTTCTGAATTTTTTCAGATTTTTTTACCCGACCCAAAAAAAGTTACGAATTTTTGAAAAAAACCGCTCTTTTTTTTTAAAATTGCAATAACTTTTTCACAAATTGACCTTTCGGCACGTTCTTTTTTTTGAAATTTTTGTTTTTAAATGTAGTTTTCAGAAAAAAATACAAACAATTTTTCGGAAGTCACGATATATGAAATATTTCAGTTTTTTCAATAAAACCGTCATTTTTTCGAATTCTGAAACCTTCGATTCTCAATTTTTTTGTCTCAAAAAAAACTTTAACTAAGACAGTATTTAACCCCACTATTCCCATTTTGTGCCGACTTTCCATTCTATTGTTTTTTTTTCGATTGAAAATAAAGAAATTTCTCAATTTGGCTTATTTTTTATGACTTTGCGTTGAGGTTTTTTTTATTGTTTTTAAAAGCTCAGAACTTGAATAAAATTGGATAAAAACAACCGTAAATTTTTTATAAATGTATTGTTTTTACATCGTTAAAAATCTAAATATTTTAATTATTTTCCTCGGTTTAGCGATTGTTTTCTTGAATTCTTAACCGTACAATGTTCTTAAGGAATGAACTTATGTTAAAGAATGAACTTGCATTAAAGAAGGTACGGAAGGTTATGGTAATAAAAAAACATAAAGAAAGTACGAAAGGTTATGGTGGATGTTCAGTGACTGATGGTAATGAACTTGTGTTAAGGAATGAATTTGTGTTATTAAATTATAAAGAAAGACGATTATAATCACATTCAAATATATGTTTTTTAAAGTAGGTATACTTGACGTTTCGTTGTTTTTTTTTATTTAAAAGAGGTGGTAAAATAATAAAAATGTGAATTTTTTAAAAAATAACACTTTTTATAAACTAATGTTTTGATATTTTTTTAACTATTAATTAATTAATAGTAAAAAATTATAAGTTAAACGTTGTAATTTAAATTAAACTTTGGTAATTGTAAAAAAATTGCTTGGGTTTATTTCATTTTATTTAAAAGGTGGTGAGAGAATATGAGCAATGTAATCAAAAACTATTTATAAAATTAAAGAATTTTACACTGAAATAAATACAATATAATTATAACGTTATTTATGTAGCGATTTAACTAGTAATATTGATTTTATTTAGAAAATGTATGCAGCATGTACATATTAACAAATATTTATACCTTCACAAATTCTTTAATGAAATATATCTACTTATACTTACATATTATTTTAATATAAAAGAATATCCCTTTACACTGAAATTCTTAGTGGTTATCACATACAAAATTTCACCGTGAAAACCGCTGAGTTCGCGTCTTTGTTTATTTGTATTTTTTATTTGGAGACCAACGCGTGGCGTCTATTAGGTGAATCAGCTGAGCTGATGCGAAAAGCGTCCCGACAAAAACTGAGCCAAGTTTGTAAAGCACGTCGTCAAGAAATTCAACCTTAAGGTGAACCGTTTCGCTCATGCGGACTAAAAATGTGCCACTGAAATTCGCCAATGGTTAAAAATTTTACATTTCACTTTCACCTACATCTTGAAAATTCGGTTTGTTTGTTCAAAAAGAATTGTTTAGCATGCCAATGTATGTCAATAGAAGATTTAAAGGTACATTAAGGTATAATAAGCATTCAGGTAGGTACTTAAATTTTCTTTACCTTTGCAATGAAAGTTTACAGGCACCTTTGAATCGTCAAATAAAATCCATTTGGTTAGGTTAATATTATGCAACCCATGTTACATTACTTCCTATTTCTATATTTGGGGCAATCCATGCCAAATCACCGAGGTTTTGACCCGACCCCCTTCGATTTCGCTGAAACTTTTTTATCATTTTCTATCCTACCAAAGACATTTTTCTGAATTTTTTCAGATTTTTTTACCCGACCCAAAAAAAGTTACGAATTTTTGAAAAAAAACCGCTCTTTTTTTTTAAAATTGCAATAACTTTTTCACAAATTGACCTTTCGGCACGTTCTTTTTTTTGAAATTTTTGTTTTTAAATGTAGTTTTCAGAAAAAAATACAAACAATTTTTCGGAAGTCACGATATATGAAATATTTCAGTTTTTTCAATAAAACCGTCATTTTTTCGAATTCTGAAACCTTCGATTCTCAATTTTTTTGTCTCAAAAAAAACTTTAACTAAGACAGTATTTAACCCCACTATTCCCATTTTGTGCCGACTTTCCATTCTATTGTTTTTTTTTCGATTGAAAATAAAGAAATTTCTCAATTTGGCTTATTTTTTATGACTTTGCGTTGAGGTTTTTTTTATTGTTTTTAAAAGCTCAGAACTTGAATAAAATTGGATAAAAACAACCGTAAATTTTTTATAAATGTATTGTTTTTACATCGTTAAAAATCTAAATATTTTAATTATTTTCCTCGGTTTAGCGATTGTTTTCTTGAATTCTTAACCGTACAATGTTCTTAAGGAATGAACTTATGTTAAAGAATGAACTTGCATTAAAGAAGGTACGGAAGGTTATGGTAATAAAAAAACATAAAGAAAGTACGAAAGGTTATGGTGGATGTTCAGTGACTGATGGTAATGAACTTGTGTTAAGGAATGAATTTGTGTTATTAAATTATAAAGAAAGACGATTATAATCACATTCAAATATATGTTTTTTAAAGTAGGTATACTTGACGTTTCGTTGTTTTTTTTTATTTAAAAGAGGTGGTAAAATAATAAAAATGTGAATTTTTTAAAAAATAACACTTTTTATAAACTAATGTTTTGATATTTTTTTAAACTGTGAATTAGACTATTTTGTTTCTTAAAAAGAGTTTACGTTTACGTACATTGTACGGTTAAGAATTCAAGAAAACAATCGCTAAACCGAGGAAAATAATTAAAATATTTAGATTTTTAACGATGTAAAAACAATACTTTATTAAAAAATTTACGGTTGTTTTTATCCAATTTTATTCAACTTCTGAGCTTTTAAAAACAATAAAAAAAACCTCAACGCAAAGTCATAAAAAATAAGCCAAATTGAGAAATTTCTTTATTTTCAATCGAAAAAAAAAACAATAGAATGAAAAGTCGGCACAAAATGGGAATAGTGGGGTTAAATACTGTCTTAGTTGAAGTTTTTTTTGAGACAAAAAAATTGAGAATCGAAGGTTTCAGAATTCGAAAAAATGACGGTTTTATTGAAAAAACTGAAATATTTCATATATCGTGACTTCCGAAAAATTGTTTGTAGTTTTTTCTGAGAACTACATTTAAAAACAAAAATTTCAAAAAAAAAAACGTGCCGAAAGGTCAATTTGTGAAAAAGATATTGCAATTTAAAAAAAAAAGAGCGGTTTTTTTCAAAAATTCGTAACTTTTTTTGGGTCGGGTAAAAAAATCTGAAAAAATTCAGAAAAATGTCTTTGGTAGGATAGAAAATGATAAAAAAGTTTCAGCGAAATCGAAGGGGGTCGGGTCAAAACCTCGGTGATTTGGCATGGATTGCCCCATTTACAAACTATGCTTCAAACTTAACTTCTTAAATTTGCTACGAATATTATTACATTTTCATACATACAAAAATGACCCATGGAAAGGTTCAACAATCTTTTTTTTTCTCCATGCACTTTTTAAATGAAATAAAAATAAAAAATATAAAATAATATTAAATATTTTGTTTATTAAGTGTATACTTTTATTACATATTAATTTTATACAAATTTAAAAATAGTTCAGTCAATACAAAAATAAAATTTAAAACCAAAATCTGTTACAAATAAAAATTATATATAAATTAATAAATATGTCTTTTATTATTTCAAAACTTAATGAGCAATATTAAAAATATAAAAAAACTTTTTATTGTTGGTGCAAATTTGAAGCTTTGGCCATTTCCTGGATGTAATCCGGAAAATTTCTTGCCAAAAGAGGATGTTGGGGAGCTAACTGGGTATCACACATAACCCCCAACTTTACATGGTCAGCGTATTCGTTCAGACACAAAGATATACCTAAAATGACATTTGTAACATGTTTAACGGATAATTCATTCGTGACAAATGTTACATTTTTAACAGTTGTTACATTTGTAACATATTTTAAATTTGCAACATATACTACATTTGTAACATGTGTTACATTTGTAACATTTGTAACATTTGTTACATTTGTAACATTTGTAACATGTGTTACATTTGTAACAGCGGTTACATGTACAACGAATGTGACATTTGTAACATATGTTGTTTGTAACGCATATTACAGTTATAACACCTGTTGCATTGGTAACACCTGTTACATTCGTAACACGTGTCACGTTATATTATCTGTTACATTTGTAACACCTGTAACATGTGTTGCAATGTAACACCGGTTGCACTTGTAACAGATGTTACATCCCCATGTAACTCACTTGTGTTTCCTTGTGGTGGTCTCCAATAGATGACGCTGCTGACTTCCTGTCCCCACAGTGATCTCTGCGTTACGTTCGGGTATCTGCTGGTCAATTCCGTTACGGACACGGCGTACTTCCTCGATAGGTATTTAAGGTAGACGCTGACCAAGAACGAGGGTAAGAACTTCGTTAGGACGCCGAATCTGGTTTGGAGGATTGTGAGGAGATGGGAGAGGCCTTGTTTTTCGAGTACTTTGTGGAAGTTGTCTCTAACCTCCATGAGGTTGTCCAGTTGCGTTGTCTCGCGTTCTGGGTCCATTATCGGGAGGTTCAAGCAAAGGATGCCCGACATCGCATCGCCAGGTTTGACGTTGTTACCAGTGGCGAAGATGTAGTTGGAGTTTATGTTACGTATTGTGATGGGGAGTTCATCCGGGATGACGTGGTTTGTTTGGGATAAGTATTTGGAGACCGACGCACTAACAGCGCTCAGCATTATTTCAGTGTCTGATACTCCGGTAGCTTTGGAAATCTGTCTGATAAAGTCCACTTTCACAGGGTCAGACCATGCTACAGATTTTCTTCCACATAGCGTTATGGTTTGGAACGATTCTTTCTGAAGGAGTATATCTTGTATGACAGTCTTTGGGGCTGAGAAAAATATGGATAAAATCTTCATTAACTCTTTGGTGGTGTTGAAAAATAAAGGTACGTATGTGTACAACATCCCAACAAAGGTATACGGATATGGACAGTATTGTAACGTCAGACAAGTATAGAAAGCCAAAACCTCAGCATAGATAACAATGGGTACTCTAACAGGTAAAACAAAACAAACATACCATAGAGATCTGAAAGTGTTACTCAAAACATTTCTTGGATCCAAAGAACACAATATAGACAAAAAGAAATTCAACACAGTAACCTGTCTTTTGGTGGTCTCCTTATTTAGTGTGATCAGAATATACTTTGTTCTTGAGTAAATATCATCCTTGATCACTCTGAAACCGCGTCTGCATTCTTTAAAGGACGACACTATGGTTATAAGTGAGATTGATAGGAACTCAAAAAAAGTCGGGGTGTTTTTTAGCAACTCGGGTCTCTCAAGGGGGTCATAATTTGCTACGAATTCGTTCCAACGATTTGATAGTTCTTCAGTTAATTTTTCCTTAAGAACCGGCATTACTTTTGGCTTTGGCAGCACCTCCACCAAAGGGCTTTTGGATGTAAAGTTCCTAGAGTACAATTTAAGAAATTTTTATTTATTTATTATTATTTACCCTTACCCTGAAGGTTGTCTAGTTGGAGGTATCAAAGGTAAGAGATCGCCGATATTTAACCCCTCACTCAAAAGTACATGATGAACCTTAAATAGTATATAATGGTTATCTTCTGATGATGGTATTATTACCACTTGCCATGGTGGCACCCCAGTGGGTAAATACTTAGACACTATTTCGCTCACATAGTCCTAAAACAAAAACTATGTCACTCTAAATACGTTAAAAGTGTTAAGCCAATATATTGTCAAAATGATACTCACTTGTATGTTGTACTCAGTGACGGTTCTTCCTTTGTAGGTGAACGGTGCCACAGTGAGGTTTTGATCAAGATCAAATTTAGCTTTTTCCCAAGCATAGTTGCCACATCTTGTAACTAGGCAATGTCGCAACCTCGGGAATGCTAGGTTGCCGGATTTGTCTCTTCGTCTGACCAATTCCTAGATAAAACATATTGTTAAGCATGTTGTGGATGAAGATAATGAAGCTTTAGGCCCAGTTGTATAACAGTTGGTTAACAGCTGATTAGCTGATTAACTCTTAAATTTAATTTAATTTAATGTTTAGCGGTGCTCCGTGACAGACAAAGTGTACCACACTTAGATAATAACTAAGTGTAGTACACTTTGTCAGTAACGGAGCACCGCTAAACATTAAATTAAATTAAATTCAAGAGTTAATCAGCTAATCAGCTGTTAACCAACTGTTATACAACTGGGCCTTAATGTGTTTTTTAATTGTTTAATTATTTTTTTAACTCCCAGTGTATTAAAAAATAATTATGCAATATTTACATTTCATAAAACTGATATTTATTAAACTGTAAATATTTAGTTTAGGTGTTATATACGATATACTTGGTTGGTTCTACTTTAGTACCGAATTGACTTTTAAAAATAGTTTAGTGTTGCTGTTTTGATTCACCCCTTCTTTCAAAAGTGAGTTATACCTCATTTAAAAGGTAAGTATCATGAAAAACTTTAATTAATTCGTTTTCGAGATGCTTATAAGCAATATAGTGGAGCAAGAGGTATCACTTTCACCATTATGCATGCCTATTGACTTAAAACTAAAATCCATTGAAAAAGATGCCCCCCTTGAAACTGAAGCTGAAGTTGGTACTTACATGCAAATGTCTCCTCACAGCTTCGGGGTTAGGCTGGCCCTTCACGCAAAGAAGTACTGATATTATTCCTTGGTTTCTATGGGTGTCTAGCAAGGTGCGAACTGTGACGTATTTTATAAATTCCACTTCCGGATGAAGCAAGGAAATGCAAGATAGCCATAGTGATCTGCTAAATCTCAATACTAAAATAAAAAATAAAATTAGACCAAAAGCTACTCTCTAATAATTCTCGTCAATTGCAATTTGTATCCAGAACATTAGCAGTCAATTTCCATACAATATGGATTTGACTACATCTCAAAAATTGCTCTACTTTTATAATTTCTGACGGTTTTTTCGAATTAAGGGAAAAATTTTACATAAGAATTGGCTGATACATTTTGGGGATGCCATGGTATCCCATGGTATAGGTGAAATAGCAGCCACTAATAACTGTAGTGACTAATTCATTTTTAGAGAGTAGATTACATTTTTAAAGCATTTCCTTTGAACTGATGTCATTGTGTTGTAATTATACATTATCGATTACGAATTCTATTGACGCAAATTTAACGTAATTGGAATACCAGGAACAAACCGTGCTAAGGTGCTAACACAACTTTAATAATTATAGTACATGGTATTTTAATGTAAAAAATCAGTTTTTTTTCATTCTCTACAAAGAACTTGTTTAACATTTTCGTTCTCCTCTTGTTTAGTTTGGTTTAAGTTTTCAAACACTTGATAAACTGATAAGAAAAACTTGTTTTTGTTTACTTACCCAAAAAATTTAAAGCTAATAAAGGCACAAGACACAGGGTACCGTAGAAAAGCACCAAAGTCACCAAAAACTCGATCATTTTCTTTAATAATTTCAATAAAATTTCGTTAACATTTTTGACTAATTAACTTATTGTCGTGGCACAACACAATCGAGTTTCAATAAGTTTAATGTTAAGTTAAATGAATTTTATCAGCGTACGAAGTGACCTATGACCCACAAGGATATGATGTTTAGTTGTAAAAATATTTCGAGTTTAGTTTCATTCTACGTAGGCATGTGATGGGAATGGTCTGGAACAGTACTTGAACACAAATTAATTTTCATTTGCCAGGTTGAGTAAAATTTGAGTAGAAGCTTAAAAATCGGTCCTGATATATATACCCTCTATCAACACGCATGTTTCAAGGTCAAAATAAAAAGAGAAAGTCATAAAGGTAATGAAGCTTTAATCGATTGAAGTTTATGAGAAGTACTGGAATCATATGAATGAAGTATCGTTTGTTTATATCGCATATTAAATTCTTTTACTCAGTATTGGACCTTCAGAAATAGAGTCAACGTAAGGTAAAATCTGCAGGGTACAAACAGTTCCGACATAATTTTTTTTGCACCTGGTGTACCAGTAGCTTGAAAACTATCTATTCACCCTTCGGGGTGTGGGAAGCCTTAGCCTATTTTCAACCCCTATCACCGCGCACGCCATTGGTCTATCCAAAGCACGGCACATTTGATCGATTTTCCTCAAAACTACATCGCCCAGTTGGTGCGTGCAGTCTTAAAAAAAACAGAGTAGGCTAGCAACAAAACAAAACAATTGTCAGTTAGTTCAAACGCAGAGTACGGACACATCTGCTTTTGTATCGTAAAAACATCTGAATGTTAATAATAAATAAACATTATTGGTAGTGCTTGTGGTGTGATTGTTTCTGCGGTAAGTTTAACGTAAATGCAGTTCTCAGTAATATACAAAAATACACTACTTTTATAATTTCTACTTGAATTGTACGTACCTTGGCGATTAAAGTTTTTACCTTCGATTATTATACCAGAATTTTTTTTCTTCAAACTTGTCCACTTATTTAATATTCTTAATAGAAGATAATTGAACTAATTGGTTGAGTTGTTACTACTGTATTGTCGTTTTTATTAACTCCAAACAAAAAGTTTGCATTTATTATCTCAAAAATCGTAATACAATATATGGGTGATTCCACCAATAACTTTTTTGGAGAGTGACCTTCAATATAAATAATTTATTATAAAAATATAAACACACATTTTTTGAGTTTTTTAATAAAAATTTGCATTATTTATTAGACCCTCAAAAATTCAATTACGCTGGAAAATGCAATTTTCACGATGTTTTTTTGTTTAAATACAATTAAATAATTAAGTAATTGTAAGCAATTTTTTCAAATAATTGAGGTTATGTATCTGTCGTCTTATTTTTTCATAATAATATAATATAATAAAATATATAATATTTTCTTACGAAAAAACAGTAAATGGTGTTTCAAATAAAATATTTTTTGTATAAGATTATTTCCACCAAAAAAATTAACTAAACAATTTACACTTTATTTGGTGGAATGACTTAAATATTTTTAAATATTTCCTGCTAGATTGCTTATTTATCAATCTTTTAGCCACTGTTTACGACAAAATAAGTGTACTAGAACAAACTTATAATATACTTATATATTATATTTATTCATTACATTTATTATAAAAAATAACATGTCACTTTGAGTTGGTCACGACGTGTGATTCGACCTTAATTAAATGTATTTAAATCCATTTAAATCTTGAGTTTATTGTTATTGTTGTTATTTTTGATTTTAAAAACTTGCATTTAATAAAATTTAAGTTATAAATACATAACCAAGCATATCTAGGCTTCGCATGGCCCCCCAAATTTCTTTTAGATATTGCTTCAGGGCCCTCATATACTTCAGGACCCTCATATACTATATGTATATGTATGTACAGTGTGGCCCATTTAAGATGGAAACACCCCCGTAACTTTTTTGTTTGTTACTCGATTTTAATGAACAAAGGCTCAAAATATAGAGAATAAAAAACTCCATCTAAGCAATAAAAAATATTTTTAATGTCATTTGACAGATGCCTACTATAACATTTTTTCTATGTCAAAATTCGGAAAATATTATTAGGGTCGTTTTATTGAAAAAAATAAGTACGCCACTAAATGCGGCATGCTTCAAAATGGGTACAAACCAAATTTAATTAAAAACGAACATTAAAATTGACTAACAAATAAAAAAGTTACGGTGGTGTTTCCATCTTAAATGGACCACACTGTATTTTTGACATATTCAGGCCAATTCACTAACATGAGTCGTTAACGTTAACCACTAGAATCAGAGGTTATCGGGCAATACGGGCCCGTTTAAATATAACGATAACCACTAGAGAACTTCATTTACATAAATTAATATTCAGTTTCAATTATTGTTTATCTAAAAATACATTACTCGTACAAAGCAATATGTTAATTTTTATGTAATATGCTAAAGACCAACAACATTTTCAATTAGGAATGTATAAAACAGATCACTTTGCAAATTATAAATAAAACATTAAATTTATCAATTTTTTTATTTCTCTTTTAAGATTTAGCCATGTAAACTTGGTGAAGAAATGGCCTCATTCCCCAAAAAAGTTTTCCTCATACTCACTGGTTTCTCTTTCCTGTACTTCTTCGTATCACTTGGAACCATAAAATCATCCATACATTACTACTTATACCCCAGAGAGGGTATATATTGCTATAGAGAAGATGTACCTACCATTCAAGACATCACAGAAGTCTCCCCTCCTAAAGGGAGCTCAATTTTTTTTCATGAGACCTCGTGTAATTCATTCTTCAACGGAAAATTGTTCATCACACCCCGACAGGCATGTGCTGTGGAATCAGCAGCTCTTCTAAATCCTCGAAGGATGGTTTATCTGCTATTCGCTTCGCCAGCAGTATTAAAAAACGAAGGCAGCGAGTCGGATAGAATGTTGGAGGCCATCTTAACCTACCCAAACGTCAGAATACACCATTTAAATTACGAGAAGTACACCAAAGGCACACCTTTGGAGGATTTGTACAGAAGTGGAGAGATTGAGACTTCGTACTATGCGCAGTCACATGCAAGCGATGTTTTAAGGTATTTAACCCTTTGGAAATACGGTGGGATCTACCTGGATCTGGATGTAATCGTGATAAAGAGCCTTAGCAATCTTCCTGGAAATTTTGCAGGATCAGAATCGGAAGCCAACGTGGCGGCAGGTATTTTAGGCTTCAACTCGACAGGAATTGGCCACAACTTGGCCAAAACTTGCGTGAACGATCTCAAGAACCACTTTAACGGGAAAGAGTGGGGTTTCAACGGACCTGGAGTGATTACAAGGTAAACAGTAAAAAAATATTTGTTAATTTTAACCAGATTTTATGTTAATTCAGGTCCACATAACTTTATGTTAAGTTTACAACCCACTAATTAAATAAGTGGTTTGTTTTATTAATTAATTTCCTAAACAAAAAAATTAACACATAGGTACCTACATAATTAAACATAAAAATAACATACACACAATTAAATAACAAACCATTCTGAAATCATCAAATTATAAAGAAATTTGGTACAATATAATTATCAGTACTACTACAACACTTACTGATGTAATTCGTAACTTTAACCCACTTCACTGTATCCCCTAATTTCAGTTTGAAAACCAGTAATGGCATCTTTTTTCGGATACTTCGCACACTCGTTAAATAGGTATAAGGAACAACACTTTGGACAGTGTTACGAACATGTAACGAATAAGAATAAAGTAAGCAGAAACATAAGTTGTAGACGTTGAAGTTAGTTGAACTTGTTGATGCGTATTGTCAGTGGGAAATGTTTTGATTGACTGCCTGAAATTACGTGTACTTTTTCTACGAAATAATTTGTTAAACATTAACAGAATATATTCTGTAACCTTTGAAAATGCTTACAAAATTCCATATTACCTTTACAAAACTTTTGATAAAATATTTCCCTTTGTTAAAATAATTACAAACCCTGGTTTTCTACAAAAAATCATGTTAAAATTTTACAAAATAAAATTACCAAACTACAAACGCATGTTAACAAATCAGGGTGTCACCAAGTTCTCATCCTTGTAAGGGGATGATAGTACACGCTAATCTCAAGTAGAATTTATAGTGGTTAAAACGTGTTGGCCACTTGGAACTGTAAAGTATATTGCCAAAATCTCTGCCACGTGGTAGAAACGGTTCTATTACGTGGAAGTGACTAAAATGAGGAACACTTTTTTAGTGTACACTGACGTCAGTTACGTGCCAATAACGTTCTTGAATTGTATACAGACACGTGTCCACCACATTGTGATTACGTTACTATAACGTGGAGTTTTCGTTGCCAAAACTTAATCATAACTTTACTACTCTTTACTTTCTATCCTAGTCTCTTTCCAGCATATTATTTATCTTATTATATTTGCTTTCTTTGACTGGATATTAATCTAACACTGAATACTTAAATTATAATATTGTAAGAATACAACTTGCAAATAATAACTATAATTAAAATAATCCAAAGACATAATATTAACACTAATTCAATTTTACTGTCAAACATGGATTTCATACCTGGAAATATAAGCACGCCCTGTATAGAATATAAAAATCTATAAACTAAGCGGAATGAAAATTATTTATCTAGAGGCCTCAAATATTTTTTTTTATTATTTCTGGTCACCTGAAACCAATAAATATGTATTAACGTGTGTAATTTGGTGCGGTAATAACCATAATTATTTGTTTAAAACTACACCTTTATTTTCCTACAATGGCGATTATTTGTAAACAACAAGAACGTGGCAATCACCACCGCAATTATGTATAATCAAGTTTTGCCACATTCAAGGTTTGGGAAAAGTTCCGAAAACGTTGCCAAAACTGATATACCCACTTTACTACTACTATCACTTCAAAGTAATACTTAAGTGATGTGATTTGGTTGCCGTTACTATTCATAATCCACTCTAAAGTTTAGACAACTTTAACGTGATATCAAAAGTGGTCATAACGTTTCAGATACCAGACTAATACACCAAAAAGTTATAAAACTTTGAAGTACCTATATTCTGCTGGTGCAAATCACATGATTACAACTATGCTAATATAATATGGAGATATTTCAACTGTATCGTGGCAGATTTAGTTATTTTAACGTTATTGCCACCCATTTTAAGTGGCGATATCAGTTTTCGTCACTATAATGCTACTTTTTTGTAATAGTGTCATTTTTTTAAATTAAAAAATCAATAAAAATTGTATAATTAACAGAGACATTTTGGGCCGCCACTGGTTGTTCCTGACCTATGACAATTGACGTAAAATATGCTTGCACATTGGGCAATAATCTACATTCATTAAAAATGTGGATTTGTGTTATCATTAGACATGGGATTTTAGTGTTATTTCCTATTTGTCTACGCTAATAATAACTTTAGGTGCAATGGAATAAAATCCGTTTTGAATAAAATGATTTCATTTGAGCCTGATTTTATTTTACTATTTTACCTAAATTTTTATTTTCAAGAGAAATGAATGAGATTTTACTACCTAAAGTAAATTTTACCTATTTCACCTAAATTCTTAACCAAATTTTTAAATATTACCATCAAAAATATGCTTTTTGAATATTGGGTTTTTCGTATCCGGATGACATAAATCTCATGTATTCTCACAAATTCAAGCAAATTTGTGCTTTTATGAGAAAGTATTTTTAAAAACATTTCCAACATCATTATTGTGAATTTGTTATTTTTAGAAAGAGTATGCTTATTAATAAAACATTTTAAATATACCGCCACATTAAAAAATTGTAAAATTTTTGATGGTAAATTTTTCAATACAATTGTGAACAATAATAAATTAATTATTTTACGACTAATTTAAAAAATGTCTTATCTAAAACAATGAAAAAACTCCACCTATTTAGTTACCTATTTTTATAAATTTGGCAACCTAAAATCCCCTCTAGTTATCATTGATTACTTTGTTAATGATTGTTTTTGTTTTGCATACCCAGCTAGTTTTAGGTAGTAAATAAAACAATACTTACTTTTTATCGTTAGGTATCCCGAGGTTTCTGTGGTATTCCCGTCGATTTTAAATTACACCTTTCACTTTTTACGTCGATTCATGCTCATGTAGGTATTTTTTTTAAGTGTTCCACAAAATCGTAATAAATTTTCATTGTTCAACTATCCCGCCGTTATTATCCACACAAAGTTGACGCCGGCGTAGAAAATTATGATGTGTCGCTCTTGCTATCATATCCGGATGAATTCGGATTTAATCTACCGCTGCATTGACAAGTTCGCGGAGTTGTTCTAATGTGTCAAATTCGCTCTGGTACACTAAACTGTTCATGTAGCCCCAGAGAAACCACAATAACAACCAAACTGTCAGTAATCAATGATAACAAAGTACCTGCTAACCGATTTTGAGTAAGTTTAAAAGTTTGCTTAATATAACATAATACCTACACTGTTATTTTTTTGCTTGGATATATAATATCATTGATTTTAGAGGTAAAAACAATAATGATAATATCCTATATATTATATAGGATAGGTCAGTGAAATCACTGGTTTTATCAAAAAAAATTCCTAATTTTTTTATAAAAAATCTAGTTTTAATGCAAAAATCTAAAGAATGACAATTTTTAAGGTGGATATAACAAACTAATTTTATCAGAATTTTAAAAAAAATTTTACAGACTCTTGAAAAACATATGTGGAGCCGATAAAGCGAAAGACATGTTGAAGAAGGACTGCCAAGGTTTTCACGTTTTCCCCCCGGAAAGTTTCTACGCGATCCCCTGGTGGAACTGGACGATGTTTATTGAGGAAAAATCCCTCAAAGAAGTGGAAAGACTAACGAAGAAAAGCTACATGATCCACGTGTGGAACAAGTTTAGTTCCAAAATGAAGATATCGTTGAACTCCAAGGTTCCGTATTTGATGTATGCGAACAAGTATTGCCCCAAAGTTATAAGCCAATGTGATAGTTATTTTTAAAGATTTTTTTTAATATAGGGTTGGTTGTACAAGACTGCGCACTTGGACTGCGCACTCTTAAACGATCCTACCCTAGATAATGTAGAATATTACCTCACCTACATAGGTTATATATAAAAAATGTTTTTGTTACCTATACTGTATATTTTTTGACAAAAATAATTACTCAAATATTTTGTCTTTAATAAATTTGTATTTTTCTAGTCTAAAAATGTTGTAAATACATTTAAATATACTGAAATATGATGTTACTTAGTTTTTGTAAAACTAATAAAATTATTTGATTAAATAAGTTTTTTTTTACACATAAAATGATATTTTAGATTTTATAATGGCATGTTTAAAACAGCAAGATTTGGCATCATCGTATTTTGACCAAGATACCCAAAGGGTTTTTATCATAGACATATTAATATGTAGATGATTTTTATAATTAACCAATTTGTTTGTTTTCTGTTGTATACCAATTGTTTTGGGATTGTTTTTTTCCATTGTGTTGACGAGATTTTAAGTGGCTTTTACATAATATGCATATTATGCCACTTTTTGCTTTTTCATAAAGCCAAACCACAGAAATTTATGTGAGCTTAACCTAGGCGATGTAAGCAAATAATTTAGAATTGATATATCCTTAATTTTATTTCGTTGACAATTCGTATCATACGTGGGCGTATTAATATGTCTATGGTATCATATATTATCAAAAAAGGAAACAATGTCATCTATACAAAATATAGCGAATAAGCGGTATATGTGTGGTAAGTATATGTTTTTTAAATGAGCGAGACCCCCCTAGCTTTTAAATACATTATATTATAAAATTACCATACAGGTTTCAATAAAAATTATAAACCAAAATATTTAGGATTCCTGTACTAGCTGTTCACAAAGTTCCCTTTCGATTGCCTAGATGGCAGCACAAGTCGACTAATTTTGAAAGTGAGCGCAACAAGTGTTCAAACAACCAATAACATATTCCCTTTATTACATATCCGCTCCTTTAGTCTGAAAGGCCTTTAAACGGAATAAAAGTACTTTTAACAAGCATTATTTTATTTTAAATTTCAGCCTTTTTGGGCAGATTTTTTGTTGGCTTAAACATTATTTTGAACCTTATATTTAAGTATTAAAAACTAGACCTAAATTTAATTTATTCCTTTGGCTAAACAATAATAATAATAACATGGTATATTAATATCAAGTTTGATAAAGGCCAGAAAACTTTATAAACGAGTTGCATACCATACTTTTTCTACGGCAAATATTATTAGCAATATTATCTAAAAAATATTTTAATTAAATATAATTTTAAAGCGAAATTACGAAAATAAAGTAACCATCCCAATAAACATTTTTGACGTAATTTTCACAATTAACATTATTATTTTAATTAAACTTAACAATTATTGATACTTTAAAATGTTAAAATAACTTTAAAATATGATTATGTTAAGAAAATATTTTATCCTTTGATTTTTTTATTACTATAATTGAAAAATATTATCACAAAGTATTAAAAATTCTTACACGGGAAATGTTAAAGGTACAAAAAGTGACAGTTGTATTTATTGGAATTCCCGTTAGAATTTACAACTTGGGAATCTACCTACGCTAAAATCTCAAATTTTTCTGTTTAAATCAAAATTTATTCCTTGAAAATAGAGTAACAATCGATAAAGAAGCAGTTTTTTACAGTAAAAGAGAAGAGAATGTTTTATGGGCACTGCACGTAATTTTTTTAGTCTTTATCAGTTATCTCAGTTATATTACTTCTTAATTCCATATTGACTACATTTAGGATTCTAGTCCTTAACGGTAAAATGTCAAATTCTCGTGATCCTATTGGTCGGACAAAAAAAGTGTTGGGACAAAAAATGTAGAGCTTTAATTTTTAAAATGTTTTGAAGCAAACCTTTCTATATTTAGTTCCTAAAAAGGGTCATTATTTTTATTATATTGATTTTTTTTTATCTAAAGAAATTTGCTGAAAGTTTAGAGCTTAACATTTTTTGTTTTAACAATTTTTTGTTTTTGTCTCTGCAAACTCCCCTGGTGGTGTATTCACTGTAAAAAAAGATAAAAAAACACAATTTTCTTGAAATACCATTTATTGATCTAACAATTAATTTAAATTACATTATTTGTTTTTTGGGATATTTATAATACTTTTTTTTATAAATACAATGTCTTTTAGGGTTCCCTATGCTACCGATTTTGAATGATGGACGGGGGGTTTATAAAAGGGGGGGTAAAATGGGGACCTGCCCCATGTTGCACCCCTTTTAGTGGCCCTGGATAGAAGTGTATAAATGAAATGATACTAAAAATAATCAACATAATAAATATTTGTTGTTAGTGAATATTTGCCCGGTTGTTTTTGTTAGATTTAGGAACTTAGGATGGCTTATGAATATTTGGTGACAGACTTAAAAAAATTGTTGATGGAGATTCATTATAATTATTGAACATGTTCTCCTATATAGGGTGCATCACAAATATACAAAATACGGACTAGATGATGTCTAACTTTACCCCTAGCACTTCTACTATTAAAAATTGTGTAAATGTGTAATAGTGTAACGATTTTTTTAAACATTTAAAACAAAAACTTGACGTCCCGAAAATAATTTTATGTACATATATTACACTAATAATCACACCAATTTCGAAAAACAAGCGGGAAAAATTAACTGTATATCTATCAGTCTTTTTTAGTCTATAAACCTAACCTAGGTTTAATTTCTCCCGCTTAAGCCGGGCTTTCCTCGAAGTTGAAAGTTAAGTAAATTAACATTCAAATTCGAAAAAACCCACTAAAATTAATGAACACAGATGATTTAGAGAGGCGGTTCTATTCTTCAACCATGATTTTTTTTGTTAAATGCTGTATGTTTATATAATAATAATAAATTAATTTAATATTCTAGAGATTCTGGTTTCGGAATTCGTTTGGTTTGAGGTTACGTTTGGCCCTCTACCGCGTCAGATAGACTATCAAAAGTGCCAAGCTGAGCGATACGAAAGATGTCTCTATTTTATGCGATGAGGATATTAACCCGCACTCTCTTCTACCGTACTCGGTACAATGCATCTGAAAGAAAGAAAATACTATTTTACTTCAACATAGGCATTGGGTTTTCCGAACGCAACAATACACCAGTGTTGCAAATAATGCATTATTTTTTTAATGCATTAAGGTTTCATCAATACACATTATTAAAATAATGAGTAATGTGTTAATTTTCATTATGCATTAGGTACTTATTTTTTCATAAAAATTAACTTAATTACTCATTACATTTTTTCCAATGATAATATGAGTAATATATTCTTTTTTGCATTACTCATTTTTAATTTTAATTAATATTTTAAAATTTTCAATTACAATTTTTATGTTAATGAGTAGTGTACTCACTTTACACTACTCATTTTTTTAATTTAAAATGAGAAATGAATGATTATCGAATTACTTATTTTTAGTTGGCAAGGAAGATATTTTTATTGCATGACACATTTTTTCAATTTTTGTTTGAATTGATTTTTTACCAGTAACAAGACGTTCAAAATTAATTATTCGTTCATACTTTCAATACTTTTTTGAGTTTAGGTCGCCTTCTCACCCAATTATCATAATCCCACTATCAACCCCGGCTTAGAATTTCTTGAGTGAGTGGAAGTTTAAAATTTTAAAATTTGCATGCAAATATGCTTTGGAAAATTTTGATACCCACACGAAAATTTGAAGAAATAAAAATTTCATTTCGGACCATTTTTAAAGAAATTAGCAGCAAAAAAACAAAAAACCCGATTGTTTTGAAAATTTGATATCTTTTGACAGAGTAATTAAAAAAATATCAAACTTTACCAGAAAGGGATTTTTAATGGGTATCAACTTAAAAATATCGAAAAATAAAAGAAATCGGAAATCAACATTTTTCAAACTATCAGACTTGGTGTAAAATGCCCCATATAAAAAATCACCCCATCAACCCTACCCCTGATCATTTTTCAGTGATTTAAGGGGTAATGTCTTTCGTTACACATTTTTTTAAATGTGTAATGTACGGTCTCTCATTACTCATTTTTTATTTTTTAATGAGTAATGAGTATCGTTCGACATTACTCATTAGTTTTTTAATGTGTAATGAAAATATTCCTCATTACAATTTTTTTTAATGATTAATGTATTCAAACTACATTAGGGGACATCCATTAATTACGTGAGGCATTTTTCTGATAAATGGACCCCTCCCCTATCCCTCAGGTGAGATTCTAGCCATTAAACTTTCTTTGCGGACAACATGATAAACCCAAAAAATAAAAATTGAATACTTTTTTTGGAAAATTTGAATTTTAATTAATATTCTTTAAACCCAAAGTTTGACGTGAGATTTTTAATGACCCCCCTCCCTTAACATGAGATTTTGCTAGACCCCCCCTATTTTTATCTCACGTAATTAATGGATGTCCCCTTACCACAAAAAAATTGCATTATTTTTTACATTTTTGCAACACTGCAATACAGAAAAGTCTTCTCGACAAATTCTGTTCGCAAAGTTTCAATTGCACAGCTAAATCTAAAAAAATCCATGTCCAATTTTCAAATTTTCCGCCATTTTTTTATTGTATCCCCCTCTTTTTTTGGGGTTTCGAATAGATAACGAAATTGTAATTTCAGCACATTTATACTTTTTGGACTGATAGTTTCGGAGATAATAATTATTAAAAGTGAAAAATTTATATTTTTCATAATGTTTTATAGTATTTATTAAAATAATTTTAATGGCGTTTTGATAAAATTAAAAAGTGTATAGAATAAATTTCTCAAAATATTTAATTTCGTAGATTTTCGTAGGATAAAACAATCTAAATGCATTTCTGATTAAACTTCGACTTTAATTTTTACAAATACACCACAAAGGCAAATTAAAAACTGCGATAAAAAGGCAGAAAATATTTAAAAGGTGGTAAAAAACATAACAGAAAAAATAATTATTTCCCTGTACTGTAGCAATAGGAAAAGAGCGGAAGGATAATCTTCGCAAAGAGCAGTTAAAGCGACATGAAAGCCAAAAAGTAAATAAATAAATGTGCCGGACTTCAAACAAAAATACGCTGGAAAAACTAGATTATAAAAAGTCGTTTTAAATTTACTTGCAAACTTTGATATTATTCTTTTTTAACACTGTCTAACAACATTTAAAAAATATTGCAACAGAGCTGGGATATTTTTTTTTTCGTGTGAAAAAGGAGTGGTTAGTCGATTTTTTTCTTTCTTAAATAGGCACCAGGGGGGACTTTTAACTGTATACAAATTCAAGACTAAAAACCAACAAACAAACTTTTTATTTTCCCATTATAAATAAAAATTCCTCTCAATGTGTACGAGGATTTATGGAAATTTGTTAGTCGATTTTTTTTTTCTTAAATAGGCACCAGGGGGGGACTTTTAACTGTATACAAATTCAAGACTAAAAACCAACAAACAAACTTTTTATTTTCCCATTATAAATAAAAATTCCTCTCAATGTGTACGAGGATTTATGGGAATTTGAACTATACAATGACTATGATAAAAATAAATAGGTTATACGTGGAATGTGTTCCTAATGGCTATTAAAGTAGTAAATATACATTTTGAATTTCTTTTTAACCTTGTTTTTAAGATATCAACACACCTACTGTAACACGACTATCGACTAAAAAACGATTTTATTAAATTATTCTCGTTTTAAATTTTAAATTAAAAGTTAAATAAAATAATCCAATAAAATATTATTTTGTTTAATCAAGTTAATACCAATTTTATTGCATTAAAAATATTAAACCGGCTTGGTACTTCGCTTCAAAATAATTTAATAAACCTAAACAAAGACCGGTAAAAAGTTATCTCCATATTTTAGTGCGATGCATTAAAAAGTCTCCTTTTCAATGAACCAATTAAAAATCTCAATGATAAATTTTTATAAAACTTCACGTGGGCAAAATTAATGGATTTCCCGGAATAAAACTTTACAGCTCGAAGAGATAAACCAGCAAATTATTCACATTATACACAATGAAATATTTCTGCTACCAAAAATTGTAATTTTTAAGTTTTCATGTTGATATAATTACCTGTATCATTTGATGGGACATCTGATCCAAAAATTTTCGACTGAACTGGGCTGCCTCGTCCCCGCATTTCCTCTTCGTTGAATGCGTGGAACATTCCACGTATTCTTGAAACGAGCTAAAATATTAGAAAAAAAATGATACAATTTTTTGTAGGGAATTCTACATAAAAGGTGATATAAGTCGATTCTTTAAAATGGTTATAATTAAAATTAAGCAATCTTATGATTAAGGTTTTGTTAAGGTTTTTTAATTAGCTTATAACCGTCCTTTAATAATGAAAAGTTCAAAAACATACAGCATACGAATGTATTGTTTAGGGAGACATTTATAACTTAATAGGCACTTGGCTCGTTTATGAGCTAAACTATTCAATTATAGTGTTATTATTGCCCTCATAATTCACTGCTTATTGTTAAATATTCGACACAATAGAAATGAGTTATTGCTCGAATTAATATTAAAATCAAAGATGAATAGATCAAATAAAGTGTTTTAATGCTGATTTAATATTATATCCTGTTAAAAAGAAATGTTTTTATAAAAATTTTAAATTTTAAAGATCATTATCGTCGCCTTATTTTGATGCAAGAAAATTTATCAGTTCATGCTACGTCATTAGTTTTGTGTCCCCAATACACATTAACGTGTACTTAGACACAGGCGCAGGGTTTTAAAAAAATGCCTCTTGGCTGACTGACAATTTTTGTTCGATTAAATAATCATCGACATTAAATGAAGTAAGTAACATTAAGATAGAAAATTCTTTAGCCAAACAAGCCAAGCAGCAGTTTTAATATACAAGTGAAAAAATTAAAACAAAAAATTATACATTCGGGAAAATGCATACGAAACGATATTTTTTATTTATGACCGAATCTATAGGGGAAATATTAAAATAAATTTAAATTAATGTCAACCACGCAAATTTTGCTATTGTTTGCTGTAAATATTCAAAAATAGTTTGCAAATATTTCCATTACTTGCATTTTTTGCTGAACAATGTTTTTGTTCCCTCAAAAATAAACTTTGTGCAATAGTTTTAAATTTGTCGTCTTCTTTGAAAAAATACAAGGAAAACTTTTACTTACCAGCAGACGTTTTTGATGCCTTCATCTGCAGCCTCCCTTTTTCTTTTTTGATACGACACCAAATCGTTTATATCTGCTGCAGCTTCAATCGAAGGCGAGTTGGCCTGAATGTTCTCCATTGCTTTCCTGTATCTCTTGAAGCACACTTCGTTTTCCGGCTCTACTTTCTTCATGCAGGGGACGTGCTTCAAATATTCTGAAAAAAAAACAATAAGAATCTGATGTTGAAACGTGTCCTATTAGTAGAACACCAGAATTGCTTCATTACGTCAGTTTATCATTTTAAAAGGTTTCTATTTTATATATCCTGGATAATTAAAAATTTGAAATTTTTTGGATTACCTTCTTGGGGTACGGTTTTGTTGATGCGAATCGCGCGACTGCGGCTTGCGACTGAGATTGATCGCAGTCGCAGCCGCAATATTGAGTGTTTTCGTTGATGCGTCTAGTTCTATGCGATTTGGCTTAGTTTTAAAGATCTGGTTTTACAACTAACATGCATGTACAGTTACGGAAAGAAGTAATGTCCATTTGAATACTCCATTGTAATTGTTCGGAGGCATTCGGGTTTTGCTAATAAAATTAACATATCTATTTTTAAACTCAATAATTCTACCTACCTGCTATTTACCATTCTTTCTAAGCATTTGAATTTTAAGCTTTTATGCAATAATTAAATATTTAAGGAATAACATTGATTCTGAAATAATTTAAATAAAATATATGTTCTATAACTTATTAAATAAACTATATATTATTTAATAAGTTGTTATTAATAAAATAATATATTTAAATGAAATATAGACATTTAATACTAAAATAATTATAAATTAAACTAAAATGCATTTTGTAGTAGAAAAACGTATTAATAGCTATTAATACGTTTTTCTACTTCTATTGCATATTATTGAAATTTTTTGGTTTTTTTTTGCTTAAATAATGGTAACCAATATAACCGCCCGGCCTATCAAAGTGAATTATATTATATTATTATTATATTCACGTTGTTAGGTATCAGTGATTGGCTTATTTTAATATTCACTGTTATTTGAAATTAAATTGAATTAGAAAAAAGTAAGGTTGACAGATGTCAGATTTATTTATATATACGAGGGGTGACTATAATGATCTTTAAAATAGGAGAAAAGTGAGGTTATAATAAATTTTGTTATCAATAAAAATTACTTAATTGGAGTAGAAAAAACATAGTATTACACTCGAAATTATGCATTTATTTACTCGGATGAATTACGTATCTCGCCTGACGGCTCGACATGCAAACCTTATCCTTTTGAATAATAGCCTGCATTATCTCTCGTATAATAAATAATAATATACTATCATCAACATTTTAGTTTTCATTACTTGTTTTATAAAATATCTGCCCAATACCAACTTATTTCAATGTATAAAAATCCAATAAAATATGGAAACGGCATAAATTTATAATTATTATAATAATTTAACTTGGTATTCCCAAAGGCTCTAAGTGTCAAAAATAAAATTGTGAGAAATCAATGAAAATCCATCCATCTTTAAAATACAAAAATAATATGGAGAAAATTTTGTTAGTCGTTTTGCATGCCACATAGACTATTTTTAAATTATAATATAATATTTGACCAAATTTGGTCCAAACCCTTTGGGAATGCCATGCTTCAACTATAATTGAGGAGCATCCGTGCAAAACCGGCTAAATCCATTTTATTCAGTTTTTGGTTTTTTTTTTTTATTTCGAATCTTTGGGTTCATTTCTATCGACAACCAAGATAATTCTGTTTAAATCCGACTATATCCATGTTAAAATCACATTTAAAAGGTGGCTTTAGGAGCAAAACCGGCCAAATCCACGTTTTTATAGCAAACCCGGCTATATCCAATAAATAATAATGATGATGAGCATGTGGCTTGGATATGTCGATAGGTACTACTAATAAAATTTGTTCTGTTTTTTCATGTTTGCACTAAATTTATTTTGTTAATATTTTTGAATAATAAAGGTTTTTTTTCACATTTTATTCGTTTTTTATTCGGTTTTTGAGCAAAACCGGCTATATACAAAACATTTTTTGAAATTTTGGCCTTAATATAAAGTTTTTGAAAACGAAAGTATGTCTTATAAATCAAGTACCACAAAGCCCACAAAACTCAAGTTTGCTTTTTCTTTTATCTGTAAAGGCCAGGAAACCGAGAGTTTTTGCCATTTTCCCAACATTTTATTAAAGTGTAAAGTAATTATTTACCATTTCTTTTTAAATAAAAAGGCAGCTTTCTTTGCTCATGGTTTTAGATAATATTTTCCTAAAAAAGGGTCCTACTAAATTTTACCATAAATTTTGTTTCGTTGAAAAAGTTTGAAAATCTTGAAAATTTCTATAAATTCAACTTTTACCTTGAATACCTTTTAAAAGAGCCCTACCAAAATTTGTTTCAGTTTTACTAATCCGAGTTAAACTATTTTAAAGTATTTTAAAAAAATCTCATATTATTTTAATGGGAAATAAAAATTCCCGATGAAGTCAATGTAAAGCTTAAATTTTAACAGGACCAGTTTTTTGAGATTCTGAACAATATTTTTGAGGTGCTTTAAAAATAAATATTCGATATTTTTTATCAAATATTTAAAAATTTGTCCTACATTTAAAATATTAATATAAAAATTTAAAATATTAATATGAAAAAATAAGAATAAATGTTTATAAAACTATACAAAAATATATCAAAAAATTAACGATTTAATAAAAATACAGTTAAATATGTAAAATACCCAAAATATTTAATTCAATACGAGCAGGTAGTAAATCCCCAAGAGGCAGATGTTGACTATTTCCGAATGCCTCCGAACAATTACAATGGAGCATTCAAATGGACATTACTTCTTTCCGTAACTGTACAGGGTGGTCCACGTAAGGTGACCCATATACTTATCTCAGAAACTACTGGAGTCACAAAAAATTTGTAAGAAACAAATATTCACGAAGTAAAAAATATTTTTAAAATATTATATTTTCATTTATACAGGGTGTTCGGTTTTCCTTGGGACGATAACAACTTTCTTATTTTCAATGGAACACCCTGTATTTTTTTGCATTTTTGGATTCTACCCACTATTTTAGGTATACTTTGTAAATATACTAATTAAGAAAATGTTAATACTTTTTGAGTAAAATTAAGATTTATTAAAATTTCTCTAAATGTAGACACTCGCTAAAAGTTAAAAATAATCAACTAAAAGTTATTATTTTTTATATTATGTAGTATCCATCTCTTTAATAATAAGTAAGCTATAAGTTAATTATTATATTTTTTGGAAAATATCATACAGGGTGTTTTCTATGTCCCGTTGAAAATAGCGATTTTAAAAGTTTAAAATCTTGTTTTTCTTCAATAGAACACCCTATATATTTTTGCATAATTGGATAGAATAAGTAATTACCTTTCATTTTATATATATACTTTATATATATATATTTTATATATATACTTATCTCAGAAACTACTGGAGTCACAAAAAATTTGTAAGAAACAAATATTCACGAAGTAAAAAATATTTTTAAAATATTATATTTTCATTTATACAGGGTGTTCGGTTTTCCTTGGGACGATACCAACTTTCTTATTTTCAATGGAACACCCTATATTTTTTTGCATTTTTGGATTCTACACACTCTTTTAGGTATACTTTGTAAATAAATTAAGTAATAAAATGTTAAAACTTTTTGAGTTAAATGAGGATTTATTAAAATTTCTCTAAATGTAGACATTCGCTAAAAGTTAAAAATAACCAACTAAAAGTTATTATTTTTTATATTATGTAGCATTCATCTCTTTAATAATAAGTAAGCTATAAGTTAATTAATTTATTTTTTGGAAAATATTATACAGGGTGTTTTCTTTGAATAATGAAAATTTAACTAAGGTAATTGGAAAAAGCTACTAATTGTAAAAATGTGAATATTTTTTTTTCTGTTAGGTTTAGGTATAGGACATATATATATAAAATGAAAGGTAATTACTTATTCTATCCAATTATGCAAAAATATATAGGGTGTTCCATTGAATAAAAACAAGATTTTAAACTTTTAAAATCGCTATTTTCAACTGGACATAGAAAATACCCTGTATGATATTTTCCAAAAAATATAATAATTAACTTATAGCTTACTTATTATTAAAGAGATGGATACTACATAATATAAAAAATAATAACTTTTAGTTGGTTATTTTTAACTTTTAGCGAGTGTCTACATTTAGAGAAATTTTAATAAATCTTAATTTTACTCAAAAAGTATTAACATTTTATTATTTAATGTATTTATAAAGTATACCTAAAAGAGTGGGAAGAATCCAAAAATGCAAAAAAATACAGGGTGTTCCATTGAAAATAAGAAAGTTGGTATCGTCCCAAGGAAAACCGAACACCCTGTATAAATGAAAATATAATATTTTAAAAATATTTTTTACTTCGTGAATATTTGTTCCCTACAAATTTTTTGTGACTCCAGTAGTTTCTGAGATAAGTATATGGGTCACCTTACGTGGACCACCCTGTACATGAACAGTGATCTTTTAACCCTAATTCTCTTAGAAGAAGAAGAAGCTGAACAGTGGTTCCTATAGGCAATATTAGAACATAAAAGATGTGAGACAAATAATATATTTAAAAGGCGTGCAGAAGAAGGATATTTTAATTTGCTTATAAACTCCCATTTAAAAGAAGATGTGAAAAAATGTAGAGATTTTTTTCGGCTAAATCCTGAGCAATTTAATTTTGTTCTGTCTCTAATACAAGAGGATATAAAGAAGCCTTCATCCTCGTTTGCACTAAACTTTACCATTTTTTATCAAACAATCGCAGACGACTGCGATTTGACTGGTCTATGTAGCAGTCGGGTCGCAACGGCTGCGGTTCGATCGTGATCGTCTGCGACTGAACGCGTCAACCAAAACATATACAAACAAATTGTACTAAGCAGTGGAGCGGCTACGTTAGCAGCCGCAAGCCGTAGCCGCGAGTCGCATCAACGAAACCGTACCTTTAGGAAGAAACAATGCCATCATCCATCCCTGATGTTATTTTTCGTATGCAATCTATATTAAATGTATTATATTTCTAAAAATCTGGATATAAGAAGATTTAGGGTTTTTCATTAAAAATTAGATATTCGTAAGGTTACCATTTTAGAAAGAAATATTGCGATCATCCCTGATGTTATTTTTCCTATGCTATCTATTTTAAATCTTATGTATTTTCAAATTTCTACATATTAGAAGATTTAGGGTTTTTCATTGAAAATTAGATATTAATTGGGTTACCATCTTAGAAAGAAATATTGCCAACATCCATTTCTGATGTTGTTTTTCCTATGCTATCATTTTGAAAGGTTTCTATTATACATATTCTGGATAATAGAAGTTATAGGGCATTTCATTAAAAATTTGATATTTTTGGATTACCTTCTTAGGAAGAAACAATGTCATCATCCCTCAATATTATTTTTTCTATGCTATCAATATGAAATGTTTCTATTTTCTATATTCTGGATAGTAAAAATTAATATTTTTTGGATTACCTTTTTAGAAAGAAATAATGCCCCATACCTGATGTTGTTTTTCCTATGCTATCATTTTGGAAAGGTTTCAATTATCCATATTCAGGATAGTAAAATGTATAGGGGTTTTCATTAAAAGTTTGATATTTTTTGGATTGTTGATGTTGTTTCTTCTATAGTGTCATTTTGAAAGGTTTCTATTATTCATATTCTAGATAATAGAAGATATAGGAGTTTTCAGTAAAAATTTAATATATTTTGGATAACCTTTTTAGGAAGAAACAATGTCATCATTCATACCTGATGTTGTTTTTCCTTTGCTATCATTTTGGAAACGTTTCAATTATCCATATTCTGGATAATAGAAGATTTAGGATTTTTTATTAAAAATTATATTTTTTTATATTATATTATTTTTTTGGATAAATCTCTTGGGAAGAAACAATGCCATTATCCATACCTGATGTTGTTTTTCCTATGCTATCATTTTGGATAAGTTTCAATTATCCATTTTCTGGATAGTAGAAGATATAGGGTTTTTCATTAAAAATTTGATATTTTTTGGATTACCTTCTTGGGAAGAAACAATGCCATCATCCATACCTGATGTTGTTTTTCCTATATATGCTATCATTTTGTATAAGTTTCAATTATCCATTTTCTGGATAGTAGAAGATATAAGGTTTTTCATTAAAAATTTGATATTTTTTGGATTACCTTCTTGGGAAGAAACAATGCCATCATCCATATCTGATGTTTTTCCTATGCTATTATTTTAGAAAGGTTTCAATTATCCATATTCTGGATAGTAGAAGATACAGGGTTTTTCAGTAAATATTTAATATATTTTTTAGATTACCTTCTTAGGAAGAAACAATGTCATCATCCATACCTGATGTTGTTTTTCTTATGCTATCATTTTGGAAAGGTTTCAATTATCCATATTCTGGATAATAAAAGATTTAGGGTTAAAATTAAAAATTTGATATTTTTTGGATAAATTTCTTGGGAAGAAACAATGATATTATCCATAATTGATGTTGTTTTTCCTATGCTATCATTTTGAGAGGTTTCTATTATCCATATTCTGGATAGTAGAAGAGATAGGGTTTTTCATTACAAATTTGGTAATATTTTGGTAACCTTCTTAGGAAGAAAAAATGCTATAACCCATAACTGATGTTGTTTTTTTATGCTATATATATTAAATGGATTCTTCTCTTCAAAATCCTTAACTTTTGGTTTAGAATGAAATGAATGAATGAATAAAATTGTAGGTATATTCAAAACCACAAACATTTTAACAGTTCATGCAGTGTACATATATGAATGTCTAAATTTCTTTTTTAAAATAAAATATGTCTGAATTACAAACTCACCACCAATACTCGGACTAGAGATGTAAACTACCCAGATCATAGGCAAACCTTAACAGTAAAGAGCCCCTGTTATATGTGTCTCAAACTGTACAATAAATTACCAAACGATTTAAAAACTATTGTCTACTAAGTCTTAGGATATATAAATTCAAAGTCAAAGAGATGTTAATCACTTATTCTTTAAAAGAGTTTTTATTATAGAATTTTTGTTTTATATATACATATAATCTTATTATGACTCTATTTCGTTTCATGTTATTATTTTATACGCATGTATGAATGTAATTTTAATTTGATTGGAAATAAAGATTTTTATAATTATTATTATTAAAAACCTGACGTGATGGAGCAATTTCCAGGGCGAATTTGTTAAATGTTTATCAGTGGTGATAATTAAAAAAAATCTTACCTTCTTGGTAGGAACCATTTTTGCACAAATCATGCACAACAACGTTGGTTCCATGGAATAAAGTTTTAAAATGTCTGGTATGGTTGGGCGTCATGCAGTGTCGTGCGTGGTTGTGTATACACCGAATTGCTCCTTTCAGGTCCCTGAAATAAACAAACAAATGTTTTCTTTAAAAGGTAGTTGCAGCGGAGCAAATGAAGTACGTTTAAGAGAGTGTAAATCCATTACTTTTAAAGCCCTTCTAATGCTGTTTATGACAAAGATCTACACTAACAAAAAAATATGATATTTTTTCTTTTCAAACTACTCAAACTTCTCAATACTGTCTGAATAGTTGATTGGACCTTCCTAAGTATATAAGCTTAATTTTTCTTCTTTCAAACACTGTTTGAACTCTGCTGATTTAAAGTCGTTCAAGACTTTAAAATTAAATAAAATTAAGTTATTATTTTTGTGTAAATATGACTTCTCCTCTACAAAATTAGCGCCGGAAAGTTTTCGGCTTTTTTGGGCACTTCAATCCTATAGAAAGCGTCCGAGGAAATTTCCCGAAAGTTTTCAGTTTTGTCAATAAATAATTGAATACTTTACTTTGCGCAAGCCGGCAGATTTTCTAATGAAAAGAGAACGTAATTCGACTTTTTAACTAAAAATTTGTGTTAATTTTTTTTTACTTTTTAGTTCTCTTCTGCATTATATAAAGCATTGGCCAAGCTTCGCAAGCACTTCAGTTAGTATATTTCTTATAAAGTGTATAAAAAAGTCCGTTGTAAAATGCTTATAATGTAAAATTATCATTACAATCGGCAATTCCGTTTGAACTCTTGTCCGGTCGCCATAAAAAATGCAACTGAGTATGTAAATTTTCCGGCCGTCCGGAAAACTATTACGACCATAGTCAGCATAATGTGCTAAACTTAAGTGCCATTTGATTAATTTTCTGGCGAGAACCGCAGCAATTTTTCCGGCCGATGCCTGCACAAAATATAATTAAATTTGCATTAGGGCGCGTTAAAAAAGTTAGCTAGGATTCTCATTAGTTCGCAGGATAATTTTCATTGAAATGGCCTCCGTTAAAACTATGTTTTGTTGTTTTATGCAGTTTTACAAACAACTTTTACACGTGTGCATATTAATAAAACTTGACCAAACTCTTATCTCGCACGCCGCTGGTTAAATTTAAGCCTTCTGGTAATTTTTAAGTAATATAAAGTAGTTTTTGTTATTCCATGAAAATTTTTATTTTTTAACAGAAGCCAACTTTTTTATTTTAAAATATTTAACCAATACATATTTTGATAAGATTTTTAAAACTTTTATGAATGTTTTAATGGTGTCAAAATTTTTTGCAGAATTAACATACTTTTTGTGATATATTTGTTTTAAAAGATTTTTTTTGGATTACCATATTATAATATTAATTTAAGTAATATGACAGATTTTTATTAACTTTATGAATGTTTTAATATTGTCAATTAACAGACTTTTTGTAAAATATGTGTTTTAAAAGGTAGCATTTTGGTAATATTTAAGTAATATTAAGTAATTTTTGAGATTTTTTGAAAACTATTATGTTAACAGTATTCAAGACTTTTATTTTAAAATATTTAGGCAATACATCTTTTTTTAAATTTTGATAAGTTTTGATGTGTTTTAAATGGTATCATTTTGGTAATATTAAGTAGTTTTTGTGATTTTTTAAAAACCATGATGTTAACAGTGTTTTATTTTAAAATATTTAAGCAATACATATTTATAAAATTCTGGTATGTTGACTAAAGTAATTTTTAAGTAATATGAACTAGATTTTATTTTTTTAACACTATGCTGTCAACAGTGCTTAACGATGGCAACATGTTTTTCTGAATGTTTTAGTACGTTTTTTCTTAATCTTTTTTGTGTTACATATATGTGTCTTAAAAGGTAGCCTTTTGGTAATTTTTAAGTAATATTAAGTGATTGTGATTTTTTAAAAACTATGATGTTAATAGTAGCCAATACTTTTATTTTAAAACATTTAAACAATAAATTCATCTTTTATAAAATTTTGGTAAGTTGACTAAAGTCATTTTTAAGTAATATTATGGTAATTTGTAGGGAATTTAATGATTCTCTAAATGTTTTAATAGTGACAAAATGTCTTTCTGAATTTACTAACTTTTTGTTACATTGCGTTTTAAAAGGTAGCCTTTCGGTATTATATAAGTAATAGAAAGTAGTTTATTATTTTATAAAAAAATAATATTTTAATAGTGGCTTAGTTGAGTATAGCCATTTTTATAATATTTTAGTCAAGAAATAATCTTTAAGCACTTTTATGGTAATTTTTTACAACTTTTGCATGTGTGCATATTAATAAAACTTGACCAAACTCTTATCTCGCACGCCGCTGGTTAAATTTGATGATAAAATTAGATTTTCTTTTCATGAATGTTTTAGTAGTGGCAGAATGTTTTTTGAATTTACTGATTTTTTTGTGTGATATATTTATGTGTTTTAAGTAATATAAAGTAGTTTTTGTTATTTCATAAAAATTTTAATTTTTTAACAATAGAAAACTGTTTTATTTTAAAATATTTAACCAATACATAATACTTTTATGAGTGTTTTAATGGTGTCAAAATGCTTTCCTGAATTAACATACTTTTTGTGATATTTGTTTTAAAATGTAGCCTTTTGGTAATATTTAAGTAATATGTCAGATTTTTATTATCTTTATGAATGTTTTGTGTCAATTAACAGACTTTTTGTGATAAATGTGTTTTAAAAGGTAGCCTTTTGGTAATATTAAGTTGTTTTTGTGATTTTTTGAAAACTATGATGTTTATGTTTATTTTAAAATATTTAAGCAATACATTTTTTAAAAATCGATTAAAGTAATTTTTAAGTAATAATAAGGTAATTTTTAAGGGTTTTAATGATTTTATAAATGTTTTAATGGTGGCAGAATGTTTTTTAAATATTTTGTTACGTTTATTCTAACCAAAATTTGACTTTTTCTGTGATATATATTTTAAATCATTTGGTAATATTTATGTAATATAAAGTGATTTTTGTGATTTTTTGAAAACCATGATGTTAACAGTGTTTTATTTTAAAATATTAAGGCAATACATATTTATACAATTCTGGTAGTATGTTAACTAAAGTAATTTTTAAGTAATATAAACTAGATTTTATGATTTTTTTAATACTATGTTGTCAACAGTAGTTAATGACGACAACATGTTTTTCTGAATGTTTTAGTACGATTTTTCTGAATTGACTTTTTAGTGTTAAATATATGTGTTTTATAAGGTAGCCGTTTGGTAATATTTTAGTAATATTAAGTAGTTTTTGTGATTTTTTTAAAACTATGATGTTAATATTAGACTTTTATTTTAAAATATTTAAGCAATTCATCTTTTGGTAAAATGAACAAAGTAATTTTTAAGTAATATTAAGGTAATTTGTAAGGGATTTAATGATTTTATAAATGTTTTAAAAGTGGCAAAATGTCTTTCTGAATTTACTAATTTTTTGTTATATTATGTTTTAAAAGGTAGTCCTTAAAAGTAATATTTAAGTAAAAAAAATATATTTTAATATTAGCTAAGTTGGGTTTTATAATATTTTTGTCAAGAAATAATCTTTAAGCAATTTTATGATAGTTTTTTTCTTAACAACTTTTGCATGTGTGCTTAGATTTTCTATTCTACTAGCTACATTTTTTGTTAACTACGTTTTTTCGATATCTCGCTTCGTTTAATTTGATATATAATTTCATGATTCTTGTGTGAAATGTAATACATTTTAGTTAATATCTTTTAAACGAAGAAAGGTATGAAAAAAACTTATGGGACAAAAATATAGCAAATAAAACAAATTTGATCAACAGCATAGCAAACAAAAGTTCCGGGACCATACACGCTGTAAAAACGCGATATTTGAACATAACTTATTAACTTGAATTTTGGTTCTAGTGGTAATAAATTTTGCAACTATTGACAAGTTTGCGGTAATTTATAATTTTCGGGAACGCAGTTCAACTGTTCTGTTCTGCGAGACAGTCTGTAGTACGAAGTGGCCGACCACTTTTGGACTAAATAGGGAAAACTTAGGCAATTTATTTCGGTTGCTCATGGACAGTTCAGTAATACCAAGTGTTTGGTTGTAAAGTTTAAAAATGCGTTTTTGTGAAAAATATTAAATTTATAAAATTATAAAAGTATTTTTAAGATTTTTTTCCTACCAAGACTTTTTTAATTTTAACTTAATTGTAAAAAGCGTTTTTAACGCTATTCTATTTATAAAAACAGTCTTATAATTTAAAAATGCATTTTTAGAATACACCCCAATGCTGACCAGTGCTTTTCATGCCTTGATATAAACATTATAGAGCTGATTTATTAAACGAATTACCTGTAAAATATTTCAGACATGGGGCAGTCTGTATAAGCGGGTTGAGGCAGCATTTTTCATAGAAACCTGCAATTAAACTTTAGAGTGGATATTCTCGTTGTATTTGCAGGAAAGCAGTTTGCAAACTTAAATAGATGCATGTTTGAGATAGTAAAACATGTAATTATTAAATTGTAAATTAGACTGGGACTCTTAAAATGGAATAGTCAAAATTCTACTATTTGAATTAGTACCAGCATTGTTTACTAATAAAATAGTCGTTTTCACTTTAAATAGTTAAAGTTTGACTAATTTAAGTAGGCTCCATGGCTATATATAATATATATATATATATATATATATATAAAAAACAAACAAAGATTTAAAAATTTTAGCTCAAAACAGCAACACAAAAAATATATTCAACTTTAAAATATTATTAACAATATTTCTACACAGATATAACTGATTTTTATAAAAGTAGAAGTGACGCTTGACAATCATCATACTCGCGTTCATACCCCGGCTGGATCAAAACTTTTTTGAATTTATATGTACTAGTTTGACTGCTTTTTCGATATGACAATTAGTCAAATATGATTTATAATTCATTTTAAGAGAGTATATTTCATAGATTTTATAACATTTGTTTGGTTTTATTATAAAAGTAAATTAAACTTACGGGCATATTTTGTTCAAATCGGCTTTGCTGCTCACAATATTCGTTAATCCAGAATCCAGAACCGATAAAGGTTTAGCGCACTTCATCAGTTCTTCCTGTCCGCATCCCTCTCCTTTCACTTTGACAAAAGTTATGACTGTAACAACAAAAAACATGAAACATTAACATAAATCTTTAAATAAATGTTTAATAAGCGCGTGTATTCTAGTTTCAAAGGTTTAAGCGTTAAAATGTTAAACGGGAAATGCAATGGTTCAAGTAATTAATAAACAATGAGTTCCGCAAACAGAGTGAATAATTTATTATTGAAAGCCACCTCCTTTGCATCTTGATAAAGAAGCATTAGGAAAAGTGATTGAATACACTCTATTGCAAAAAATAACAATAATTAATATTATTTATGGGATTTACCATTGAAAACCGACCGACCGACATGAGACAAAGTACAAATAACAGTTACCTGTAGGATAAATTTAAAATAAAATAAAAAATAAAAAAAATTTAAAAAAATTCTTTAATCATTTATCTGCTGTTTATTAAAACAAATAATAAATCTAAAAGGTGCAAATAAAAGAAAATGAAATCCCTAAAGTAGGTTATAATTTAAAGTTTTCTAAAGCGTTTTCAGTTTGGACAGATACACCCAGGTAGTTTTAGTAAAGAAAAGTTTCGTAAAGTTAGAATTGATTTATACCTTTTTAAGTTCTCATTATTGTAATATTTACCTTCTTTTAAATTTAAATTTTTGTCCAAAGTACTTTTTCACTGTACTTTTCTTATAATACAGTTTTACCAAAAAATTACGAAATGGCTACCTTTTAAAGCGACTTATTTATTAAATCTTAACAATTTACAGGACATTTACCAAAAAATACTAAATGGAAACATTTTTCCTAAATTTACAAAATTTTTTAAAGATTGTAAGACATACATATTTATAAAATTCAGGTCATGAATCTAAAGTAATTTTTAAGTATTATTATGGTAATTTTTAAGGTTTTTTAATAATTTTACAAATGTTATAAGGTAGGCAAATCGTTTTTCCGAATTTATTAAGTTTTTGTCTTATATGTGTTTAAAAAGGTAGCCTTTTGGTAATATTTAGTATTTTTTGTGATTTTTTTAAATCTACAATTTTAGCAGTAGCCAGTAATTTATTTTAAAATATTTAAGCAATAAACTTTTTATAAAATGTTGACTAAAGTCATTTTTAAGTAATATTAAGGTAATTTGTAAGGTTTTTAATGATTTTATGAATGTTTTAATAGTGGCACAATGTTTTTTTGAATTTAGTGACTTTTTTGTGATATGTGTTTTTAAAGGTAGCCTTTTAGTAATTTTTAGGTATTATGAAGTAGTTTTTGTTTTCATGAAAAATTTAATTTTTTTACACAATCCAACTGTTTTATTTTAAAATATTTAACCAATACATCTTTTATACAATTTTATAAAAGTCGACTAAAGTAATTTTTAAGTAGGTAATATAAACTAGTTTTAATGATTTTTTTAACACTATGATGTCAACAGTTGTTAATGATGACAAAATGTTTTACTGAATGTTTTAGTACGTTTTTTATGTTATATGTGTTTTAAAATGCAGCCTTTTGGTAATATTTAAGTAGTTTTTGTGATTTTTTGAAAACAGTAGCCAAGACTTTTATTTTAAAATATTTAAGCAATATTAAAGCAATTAATTTTTTATAAAATTTTGGTAAGTTGATTAAAGTCATTTTTAAGTAATATTTTTTTAAGAAATACTCTTAAAGCAATTTTATGGTAAGTATGTAATATTGAATTTTTTTATTTTCTACATTTTTCATTAGGTATATTTCCCAGATTAAAAAGTAAAAAATTCGATAAATGAATCTTAAAGTCTCACTATGAACTGGCGACAGAAACTATTGTCTTATTCCAGCATTTGTCACGCTCGACGACCCTTCTTCAGCTTCATCTCCTTCAGGAGCAAAACTTTCCAAACAAAATGTATAAGACACGAGAACATGCTGTTTACGCCCGGATTTCTCACCAGGTCCGGGTTCGAACCCCCCCAGAGACCCATACGTTACTTTACGAGTAAGTCGCTAAAAGCCCGCATCCAGGCGCGAACGTCTGTTTCTTAATTAGTTGCCGAAAATTCGGTGCAAAGTTTGACCGCGCGCGAAAAGTTTGCCCGGATTATTAGCCGGATTAATAGCAACAAGACTGCGGAATTAAAACGGTACTTATTATGTTTAATGCCTTTACTTTGTTTTGATTAAATCGCAAAATATAATATTCCCGCAATAATTCGATATCCATATATGTTTCCCATAAGTAAATTAAATTAGATTGTTAATTCTAGCAACAATGTTTGTTGAAGTTTACGTAAGCTCCGGATGTTTATTAGCAGTTGTTTTGTTGATTAGAAGAGCAAATAACTTTCAACGAAACTATAGTTAAATCTAGAGTACTCACAAGTTTAACAATGGGGAAATATTTGTGGATATGGTTAATGTTTTACATTATACAAGGAGGTTCAACGACCGAAAACGACAGTAATGTAAAGTAATTTTTAAGTAATAATAAGGTAATTTGTAAGGTTTTTAATGATTATATGTTTTAATGGTTGCAGAGTGTTTTTCTCAATATTATGTAACGTTTTTTCTAAATAAAATTTGACTTTTTTGTGATGTGTTTTAAAAGGTAGCCTTTTGGTAATATTTAAGTAATATTAGGTAGTTTTTGTGATTTTTTGAAAACCATGATGTTTTATTTTACAATATTAAAGCAATACATTTTTTTTTACATTTTTATAACTTGACTTAAGTTGAATATAGTCATTATTAAATAATATTAAGGTAATTTTTCAATTTTTTTAAAACTTTATTAATGTTTTAAAAGTGGCAATTTACAGACTTTTTGTGATTTATGTGTTTTAAGAGGTAGCCTTTTGGTAATATTAAGTAGTTTTGTAATTTTTTGAAAACTATGATGTGAACAGTACCCAAGACTTTTATTTTAAATTATTTATCAGTTGACTAAAGTAATTTTTAAATAATAATAGGGTAATTTGTAAGGTTTTTAATGATTATATAAATGTTTTAATGGTGGCAGAGTGTTTTCTGAATATTTTGTTGTAACGTTTATTTAGACAAAATTTGAATTTTTTTGTGATGTGTTTTAAGTAGCCTTCTAAACAAAATTTGACTTTTAAGTAGCCTTCTAAACAAAATTTGACTTTTTGTGATATGTGTTTTAAAAGGTAGCCTTTTGTTAATAGTTTTTGTGATTTTTTAAAGCAATTCATTTTTCATAAAATTTTGTTGACTTAAGTCATTTTTAATTAATATTAAGGTAATTTGTAAGGGATTTAGTAATTCTATAAATGTTTTAATAGTGGCAAAATGTTTCTCTGAATTTGTGATATTGTGTTTTAAAAGGTAGCCTTTTGGTAATATTTAAGTAATAGTAAGTAGTTTTATTATTCTATAAAAACATGATATTTATTATTGGTAACCTAGTAGGTATAGCCATTTTTATAGTAATTTTTTTAAGAAATACGCTATTTTATGGTAAATTTTTACCAAATAGAAAATTATATTTACCAAATAGAAAAATATGATAAATGAATCTTAAATTCTCTTATGTTTCGTTTTTGTTGAGCCACCCTGTATATACTTATAGAGAATCTTTTCACAAATCTAGTAGTTTTTATGTGGGTTTTTCTTAACAATATCAGTTCTATATTCTAGCTTCAGTTTCTGTCACTGAATAAAGAGAAGATACCTCTGAAGCAAAGCAAAACATTTGTACCTTAGAGTAAATACAATGTAGACAGAGAAAACTGCAAAATAAATTTGTCTATGTAGGTATAACGTCATCGATTAAAAATGTGTAAATATATTAAATTTAAACGTCTTACTTTGTTTTGCTCTATCTAGTAGCAAACTTACTCGAAGGTTCGCACACGCATTGTCTGGCTTGTCTCGAAGCAAACAGTGTGGATATAAATCCTCTGAGATGAGACCGAGCGTAAGATTATTCCATTTTGCATGTTGCAGATGTTTATGATTTCGTTAAAATTAAATTTGTGCTGCCGCACAGGCCTAAGTGGTCTGTCAACGTATCAAGAAAATGCAGACAACATTATGTGAATAAGGGCTAAACATGCATGTTATATCCAGAGTTCCTTTAGGGAGTTTGAATGATTTTTTATGAATATTTTCAAATAAACAGAATAAAGTCTAGGAGCGTTAAATCGCAGGATCTTGGTGGCCAAATACATTATGTAAAAAAGTCTTTTAACACAAATAAAATTGTGGTTGCAAGAATTATTTTTCGTCGAAAAAGTGATAATAAATATCATGTAAAAAAAATGTATTCATTGAGGGAGATTAAGATGAGTGAACAACTTCCATAAAGAAGGGAGGAAAAAGTAGCGAATGGGACTGGAAGTGAAAAATTGAGCAAAAGGTCGGAAATAAAAAGCGTAATTGAAAGCAGCCGCTGTAATGCCTTGGAAATTAATATTTTCATTTGGGTTTTAAAGCCCCGGAGCCGACGAGAAAAAGTCAAACACAGTAACATTATCTAATTTCGAGACGAGTCCAGGGACGGATTTCAAGGGCCCAAAACTGCCCCACAGGATCCACAGACACCTATGTATACATGTGTATATATATATATATTAATTCCCCATTTAAAATGTTAAAATAACAATTTTTTCAACTGCGGAAGTTCCGCAAAATTTTTCACATCTGCTTCCGCATTTTTCCACATTTTTTTTTATCGGAAGCTTATTAAAACTTTCTAGAAATGGCGAGATAAAAATTATATTATTATTTTTAGTATTTATACTTTCGCATTCGATTCCCCTAACATTATCTAATTTCGAGACAAGTCCAGGGACGGATTTAAGGATCCCATATTTATACTATTATTTATAGAATTTATACTTCCGCATACGCTTCCCCTTTTATAATGCACACTTCGTTGCATCACTGATATAAATAAGTCATCAAAATTTAGTCCTGCCCTGTGCGGGTGTTTTATTTTGTGATTAAAAAACGGGCGAAAGACAGAAAATTGGAATACGTGCTTTTGCATTTTTCACCTAACGAAACTTTATCCTTGCTTATTGCCAAATTAAGTGAGATT